TTTAATTGATAAATAGAGACAATAAATGACTGAAACCCAGGAATTAATTTTGATTTGGAATTGAAACACAGTCAGGAAAGTATATACAATTATTTCTACGGCTATTATTCTTAGTCTTTGTTCTGCTTTGAAGAATTTTTAAGTAGATACTTACTATATCGAACATTATTATTGTCAGAACCTTTTAAATATGCATATAATTTATGACCAATATACACAATTAAAATATGCATATTAACATAATTTATCAAATAAGGGTGTTCAGAAATGAGTGGGTGTACTTTAACTGCATACTTCGACCAAAATAGGACGTTTTTTCCATATCAGCAAAAGTACAAAAAAGCTTGGTTTTCGACATTCAAGGGATTAAATTTATTGGTATATTTTTTGTTTTTTTCGGAATACTTGAATATAATGAAATTAACAACTTTCAAACAAGCTGAGGAATTTTATTGAATTACCTAGGTACTACATCATTTCCTCTAGAATTTCCTGGATAGATCCCAAGTTTGAAACAACATTTATTGAATCTATACCAACGCAAACTTAAATCTGCTATTTTAATATTTTTTGGCATTTTAATGCCCTAAAACAGCTAATTAAGTTATCGAAGGTTTAAGGTGAGTCAAAGTCGAATCAATTCTCGTCTGATCATTGAAGGTTTTACCGATACACATGATCAGATATCAGTCTTTATCTATGCACATGATATGAAAGGCGATATTTAAATTGGAACAATTGTAGTGTTGGCAAAGTAATCAGAAAATCAAATTATGTGTTGTACAATCATCTATACACCTAAGCCTTATTGTTGCTTGACGAGATTGACTATTGAAAGACCGAGGAGTTAACGCACATTCTTTTAAATTATATTTAATTACTTTTAATACCTTTTATTGTTTTGAAGTATTTATGAGGCTGCTTTTTTATGTGTTATTTTAATAACGAAAGTGAATTTTTCTTTGATCAAGTGAACTTACCAGTGAAACTTCCCCAAATGCTAGTAGTCATTTTACTTTGCTTTGTGGCTTCGTCTACAGCTTCCTCCTTTGACCCTGTAACATTCCCTGACTGGCTGATGCCCCATGTTCCGAAAAAGTCATCAGAATTGGTGTCGACAGGTGTATTTACTGGTTGAATACTCTCAGCGTCCTCCTTTATATCTAAGGCCTTATCTATGGTTTTTTGGGCCTCCTTCAGTGCTGATTTGGCTATGTTAGCCAAGGCCCCCGCATCAAACCAGCTCATTTTTGGACATTCTTCAGAAATCTGTATTACTGGCTTGGCAAAGTCGGCACTGCGTTGAACCAGTTGATGTATTTGTGAAACGCTGTTATTATCTTTGTGAAGTTATACCCTTAAAGTTATACCGAAATCAAAGGGTTTGTTTTCGTTGTCACTTTTGACAACAAATTGTTGACGTTTGCAAATTGGCGTTTTGATCTTATCGACTAGTCAAATCCGAGAAATATCGTTCTGTCCTTCTGGGTTATTATATGTGTGATAAGGAGCGCCGATATTCTACACGTTATACGGTTTCATTCTTAAGACGTGATCAGCTGTTAATTACGTTTCAGAGCGGGGATGATTAAGGAAACAGTATTAAATTACATTGTCTTTAGGAAAATGATATCGGTTTCTGAACTAAAAAAAATTAAATAAATGTTTGAATTTCGAAATCAGCAAATAATTTTGTTAAAAAAAAGTCGTTCCAAGTTGATATGCCGCTCCGTAAAACAGAGTTTTAACGCTCTAGTGGCGCAATTGGTTAGCGCACGGTACTTATAAGGCAGTAGTCGTGAGCGATGCCGGGGTTGTGAGTTCGAGCCTCACCTAGAGCATACTTTTTAGCGCTCATAATGCCGATAAAAACATCAATTTATAAATTTTTTAACTTCTTGACAAATTTCATTTTCCAACATTCCTCAAAGAAGAAATCTCGAGTTGTAAGATCGGGTGATCCTGGTGGCCTTCTTGTAGGTCCATATGTTCCTGTTCAACGGTTTGTGAATTAAGTATTCAAATACACTTTCATTGTATAATAAAAAATAATTTCATTTCATGAAAACAGAATTCAAAATACTACTTTTTTAAATTAAAATGTACAGGGTGTTTTTAATGAGTTTAGGGCACCAAAACTTTTTTACCGAACTTCGTATATTTATTCGGAAAATAGCAGACTATTTAACAATCACTATAAAGAAACTTTGGTATGTATTTCTTTTGACTAAGAAAATATAGGTGATTTGTTTCCTTATATCTCTTAAGTGGGCAAAATCTTTCAATTTTTTATTTTTGTCCTAAAAAGAACACATGATACCTATGCACCTTTTCCGATAGCAGTAACTCAAAGATACCCTATAAAAGTGTGGAAGACGGGACACCCCGTACATCTATAAAAATTTTCATGAAGAGTATTTGATTTAGATTATATTCTTGAAATACTGGTGTCTTTTGCAGTGGTGGCGCGTGGTTTAATGCTTTGAGATGCGCACATTAGAAAACAAATGCGGTCGAAAACTGTTTTGAGCATACAAGCCGACAAATCGTTCAAGTTAAGGAATTTTATTAAGAAATTTAAATTTCCGTCACGCTATCAGGGCGTTGATCAACGCGCTAAGTTTCCGCCATTGTCGTCATCACAAAATAAATTAAAGCCGTGCACATACTAATTGTGCACAATGCAGCCTTTGCGGGTGAACAATGAGCGCGTGCGGAAAGTTCTACCAATCAAATTTCCTGCATTTCAATTTCACCAAAATAATACTTTTGAACAAAGTTTGAACGGAGAAAAGATGGAACATCGTTCAAGCTGTGTTTATTCTAGTTTTATAACTCCAAATAATTTTCTGGGACACTCCGGCAACTGGCAACTGATTTCTTCCATTTCAGTCTCAATTCCATCACAATGATCCTGACAATGTCTCCATCTAATCACTCTTCCCTTGCCACATGTTACACTACACGTTGACCAATCAGTCCATTTTTGCCATTTCGGTTGACCGTTTTCTTTGCGCTTATCTGAGGATTTTTAAAATATACTATTAATATTTCGGAAGAAAACCTTTAAATTACTGTTTCTAAAGGTCCACTTATGAGATTTGAATGTGAAATAGTAGTTCATGGGCAGATATCTACAAACACTGGAGAGTGTATTGGGATACTAGCGAACACTCTCACGCATATGAATAAGTGGGCTAGTCTGTAAATAAGTTGGATTGTAAATTAGGCACAAAAATAGCCTCTTAGTGTGTGCCTACTTAGAACTAAAACGTTATTAATGCTGAGTTTAAAAAATTAATTAAAAACTTACTGATCGTATAACAATTATGAAATCAAATTATTTCGGGTAACTTTGAAAATTATCTCGAATATAGTGGTTTTTGCATCCGCATAGGGAACAAATTTACTGATATTAAATGGCCGAAAAAAGTTTATTTTTAAAATCAACAAAAAAATAATTGTAATGTAAAGTAGGTATTGTGAATTTTCTATTACAATTAGAAAATCTTGGGTTTCCTTTAGTGAACTGGTGGAAAGTTGTCTATCCAGTCATATGGGAAAATCAAATGATTGATTAAACCCACAGTACATCTATAGGGTGGTCCAGTTTCCAGAGCGGAAATTTCGGGCAACGATAGAAAACCGAAAAACAATATGAGTCTGCATTATAAACTATGGCCGAGAAGCGCTTCGTTAAGAAAATATAGGGTGTTTAAGTGATTTTTTCGATGTGATAACTGCCAACGATTGAGCACATTTTGCAATAAAAAGTAATTTTGGATTCTTCATTCAGTTTGGAACAAAAAGTTTTCTTTCAGTTCCTCAACACAATGTTTTCAAGTAAAAAATAAAACAATATAAAATCACATCATCAATCGGTGATGTTCTTCATTAACGAAAATTCTAGGAAATGCTCGAAATTCATTAGTTGACGATGTCAAAAATGTATTGAACTACTGAGTGGACTACATTTCAAACCATTCCTTTAATTTTTCTTGATGTTAATTGAATTTGTGATTTTATTATCTTACAGTTTCATTTAATGATTATCAATTATTCCCAAACTTTTTGTAGAAAACGCTGAGTTGCATAGAGAAGTTCACAGGAGACTGTTTCCTTTCAAACTGAATGAAGAAACCAACCGTGAATCTATGAAAAATCTATTTTAGTCTATGAAAAACCGGTATTAACTAATTTTTATATTTAAAAATATTCATTAACGAGTTAGTACGCCACTGACAACACAAAAAAAATAGTTTTTAATGGAAAATGTGCTTCGTCGTTGGAAGTTACCAACTGCAAAAAATGTTTAAAAAATGCACAGTCATTTTGCAACAATTAATTAATTTGATTTTTTGGTGCCAAATTGCAATGCCAAAAAAACACTCTACATTTCCCTAACTAATGCAAACTCATATAGTTTTTCGATTCCCTCCCGCTCCCTGAAGTTTCCACTCTGGAAACTAGACCACCCTGTATATGTATTGCTCTTTATAAAAACGTTTTTTGTTAATCCCGTGAGATTCTGTTAATCACAATCAACACATTTCATTAAAGTTTTTATATTTTTGGCTCTAATCGTATCCAGAAATATTTGCTTGAAACTGTACTGATTTGAAAGGGATTGAGATGGAGATTGCTATTGCATTGTGTTGTTCAATTCAATAGAATAATCCAATAAATGACTCGATTATTTCCATCATTAGAATTCACTGAAAGTTAGTAGTTATTACAGCAAGAGAAAACAGCAGCAATCTCTGAAATTAATAAGGCCATTTGTTCCACTTTAGAAGAAAGGAACTTTGAAACTGGCGAAAATTGTTCTTTAGTGCACAGAAGGCTGATCTAAAGTAGAAAAAATACCGAGTGTATTCCCAATTTTCAGGGATACCTTTTCTGATAATAAAGTGCAATTGCCGTGATTCTGAGTTCTCCACGCTGTAGGTAGAACCTAGGATTTGTACTACCAGACAAATTGTGTTAAAACCGTTTACTTGGGACACCCTGTCCACCACAACAAGCTCCATGCATCCTCTTTTTCTGTAACTTTTTATTTGTTGGATGAAATCAACTAATTTTCTTTGGTTGATGCACTAATCATTTATTATATAAAACATTGTAGCATTCTTGTTTTTGCGAAAAAAAATATGTTTTTTTTGCCACTTAACAATGTTAGTCATTAACTGCAAATATCGAGATACGAGGCATAAATTAATTGTCAATCAATCTCACAAATTCGTTTCGAATGACCTTTTCTAATGAAGAAGGGACCGACATGGTCAAAGTATTAAGGGTTTGCAAAGACAACTTGCGTGAAATCGTACGCGTTTACGCGGCGCATATTTGCAGTAAATGTCTAACATTGTTAAGTGGCAAGAAAACAGATATATTTTTTGCACAAAAACTATGAATGCTACAAGAGTTTACAAAGAGCACTTTTTACTCTTCAATTTAACTGAGCAAATTAATTAAAATGAAATAAAGCGAGATATTTTCAATTTAACAGATCACAGCGGAGAGAAGCTAAAGAGATGTGCGGATGGCATTATTATACATCCCTACAAGCGGGTTTACAAATAAATAGTTCAGAAACTCAACTGATGATCGGCCGACTACAAAGATAAAATATGTCTGTATCCGGACTAAAAACTTCCATATTCGAAACTCGAAAGTTAATAAGATCTAGGGAAGCCAACGATCAAAAGAACGCGATGTGTTGGGTTCAAGTCTTTTGAGAGATCAGAGAACCAAACAAAAAAATGCGTGTTGGATTTTGCTTATAAATTCGCAAGGAATTATTTGTTTACGAAGTTATTAGACCTATGAACAACAGTGAACTCACACTGGTTCTTTCCGATAAATAGTTACTATTGAAATTCACCATGCTGCCTTGCTTTGTGTTATTGTACCTATTTTTCTCTTGTTCCTCTTCAAAGTGCTCAAAAATTTCGACAAAATCTGTTTAACACGCTGTAGATTTGGGTTTGTCTTTTTCGACTCTTTTATTTTCTGTATCTTTTTCTCATTTTCCTCTTTCAAAATGTCCAATCCAAGTTTGATTTCTTGCAAAGACTTGGATTCTGGTCTAACATCGAAGATTGGACTTTCCACTAAATCGTTGTCCAAAGCCGCAGGTGTTCCTTGCAAGCAATACAGAACTAATGCTAAAATTATAAATGGCACAGAAATCGACATATGACACTAATTTTTCAATGTCACAACTACAGGAAAGACCACTTTAACATTTTTACTTTATTATCGTAAATTCAACTAACTTAAATTTAGTATATTCTCTCTAGACTACTAATAGAAATAATATAGCTTTCTAAGACTTATTCAATATACATTGCACAAAATGATCGGAAACAAAGAAAGCAAAAATATGATTATTGCCGGCTCCCAATTCTATATCAGATAAGTACGTTCTATTCGCACTCAGCCAAAAACGCTCTAAACGCACAGAGTGAAGAAGTTTGTCTACCAAGGAACTAAATAAATTGGCATTACATGCTAGAAATGGAGTGAATGCAAATAGAGTAAAATCTCACACCATTACTTTTGAATTAGTTTTAATTATTCACTTTTAGCTGAATTATTTGAAAGTATAATGTGAAATGTAACTACTAAAACACCCAAATAGATAAGTACCCTTAGAACTCTATCACCCCAATTTAAAATAATAACACAGACCACTTTAGTGAATGCATTCGGTAAACACCAGACAGTTTGATTAACCAAAGAATATTGCGCTCTAATTTGCAAATACCCTCTCTAAAAAACTACGTATTATAGTAAATCTCGAATTTATATTTGATTATCGAGTTGTAAAAATCTGGTGCTTAGACTACGATTTCCTAATTTTATTTATTATTATTTCATGGGGCCTAATTAACGTATGTTAGTCAGTACACTGGCATTGTAAAAATAGTCTAGTTTGGATGCATACATTCATACAGAATTTTCATTTCGGTATTTAACCGCATTTGAAAAACTGTTTACTTAGGCAACCTCATCCTAATTAAATTAATGTTTGTAAGTATGAATTTAATTAATAAACAAGTGAAACCTGTCTTTAATAGGCCACTGATACGCTAAATTGCATTGAAAAGAATACAAATCTTTGATTTTTGAAATGGCAAAGATTCTATTGTCTATTAATGCTCATGTTCTACTCTAATTTGCTTACAGTAAACGTTTTCAACTGACCAAGAACCATACATAACATTATTATGTATCTAACAAAATATTATGTGCTATTAAAACGGGACGGGATTATTACATGATTTATCACTGGCATAAAATTATGTTGTATGATGTGTGTGCATATGAATAGATAATAGGGAATTTTATACAATCAAGAACCAAGCTGCACTCTAGAGGTGGCTATTAGGAACAAAAAGAACATATTTAAAAATACATACGAGATAAATATAGCAACAGCATTGAATTGGAGGCAAAAAGTAAAAAATTATCTCTTTCTTAAACAATTGTAAATTTAGATTAGTTAGATTACAGCTTACCCCATTTGAGTGTAAAACAAGTATTATTAAGAAAGTTCCAAAATGAAGCTTGGCCCATGGATTGAGAAAAAAACCGTTTTGTTACGAACAGTAAACACGTCTAGAACATAAAAATTATATTAAATAGGAACGGGATATTCTACCAAAACACATACCTGGGTTTACATATGTTAGTAATGTAACTTAAGCAGATGCTATCTACTCGCAAAGTGTATCGACTTATAACTAAAATGTTAGACCGCAGAACTTGTCTTCAACTAATCGGAAAGTGTCGTAGTCCAGCCGTCTCCAAAAAAAATTCAAATGTCAGTCTTGAAGTGTAGTTTTGGGCCTGCAAGAAAACACTCCGGTATAATGAGAGAGGGTGGTGTATGGGAAAGAGGCAGAAATAGTGTACTCGTGGGTTTTTGGCAATTTCGATTCACAAAAAAGTGTGTTCTGTTGTTAAATGTCTTAAAAAAAAGATACTGTTTTTGTAACAATAATGACCGCAAAAGCTTAAGGAGAATTATCTTTAAAACTTCGGGTAAAAAGTTCCGAAGAAACAGACCAAAGGTATTAATTTCCTTAGAATGTGTAAATATTTTCGGAAAAAGATAAGTGCATAACAACTAGTTTCAATGAAAATACCCTATTTCTATCTCTGTCACTGTGAGGAATTTTGCAATCATAAAAATGGTTCTTTCCGCTTTTAAATATTTTATTTGAAACATTATAAAATGGTCTAATAAAAAATGCGTAATGGTCGACAACTCACAACGTAAATGTTACAAATAATTACAAAGAGTAGATATAATACTTCGTATGTTTACATGTAGTTAAGTATACACTTTTTTAATAAATTTAAAAAATACTAATAAAAAATTATTGGTTAACTTTTACTTATTTTGTGATATTTTCGACTCTTTAACATAAACAAGCATCTAAACCTGCAATACGGTATACTGTATTGTCATTGAGTTTCTAGCACATTTACTATTTTTGAAAACAAAATCATATAAAGTGGAAACAAAATTTTTAGGTCCAAATGAAAACTGCCTAAAAATTATAACATGATTGCCACTTTTTAGCTAGAACTCTAAACACTTATAAATACAACTTTTCTACCATAAATACGTGTAAAAAAGGCACTTTAAAGGAATGCTTAACTAAAGGTACGGCGAATTTAATAATCCTCAGTTTCATGCTTGGAAAGTTGACTTGATAAATTTCAGTTTAATACGAAACACCCTGTTTTCGTCACGGTGATCAAAATATTAAACACATTTCTTACGATTATCAATTATATGCTACGTGATCTTTTAAATATACATATGATGCATAGGGATGATTATACCTCTCCGGACATGAATTGCTATTGAAAAACACTATAAATTTACGGGAAAACGGGACTTTCAAGTTATAATTAGGACAGTGCAAATCTCGAGGTTCGCTCACCTCAGGCACACCCGGGACCGGTTTCGAGCCTATTAGCTCTCATCAGCTGGATTCAGCCTGAATCAGCCACCGCGAGATCTGTACTTAAACACTCTTTTGCCCAGCTGATGAGAGCTAATAGACTGCAAACCGGTCCTGGGTGTGTTTGAGGTGAGCGAACCTCCAGATTTGCACTGTCTTAATTTGATTTCTTACTCGGATAAATTTTGATAAAACTTACGATGATTTGATGGAACACCATGTTTGATTAACGTAATGGTTGAATCTAAGTGCGATTAATCCTGCTTCATGCCGAAAAAATATCCTTGATTTAATTTGCAAGTTAGATAAATAACATGTGAATGCTGGGATTAATAAAAAAATACTAATGATAAACCTCACGCAATAGACCTATTAAATTGCAAATAAACCGCCTATTTTCATTAAGCTTGAGATAGAAATAACACAATATCTGTCCGAAATGGGCAAAAAATAAACAAGAGAGCTTAAAACTTTAAATGGAAAGCAGCAAATTACGTAAAGTGTTTGACACTCAGCAAAGGACGGCAGATCTACAACTTACGGACTCCAATGGAATTAGAAAGAAGAAGCTAAATAATATTAGACGTATACGACTACACTATAAATATAAAAATATAATAATTAAACTGAATACAGGTAAACTCATCCCTATTATTACTATAACTAGGTAGGAAGTCTCTATGATTTACGAATTTTTATGTATTACATGTTATGTACACGTTCCCGTTCCAGTAGTTCATTACCACAAACATCGCTGAATGATCAGTATTCACTTAACATTTCATCATTAATTATTGTACACAGTTGAAATTCCGATCTGATAGAAAAATATCTTTTTGCAAAATACTTTTAAATTATTTTCTTTGTTAATTTAAAGTGAAAGTTCGTGACACCTGATCTCAAGTTCGAAAATATATTTTTTATGTGATAATGACATCAGTCTTAGCGCAAAACCTGACATTCTCAATTCTTATATTACTCATGAATATTGGCAGCTTTTTAGGTACTTTAATTTAAAGAAATTAAATTAATACAATGTTCTGAACTTGAATGAATGAAACAAACATGTATTGTTTTGATTATAGAAAACTTTCGAAAATATTTAATGATCATTTGCAATAAATAAGTTGGGCGACATACGACTTTTTCCCATAATTCCTGGGATCTAGTCGATTTGTTACAAGAAGCGATAACAAATTAAACCGGTTATTTCTTCACATTGACAAAATGTCACGTTGTATTTAGCCAAATGAACTATTACGGACCATACATGTAAAGGTGCAATTAGAAGCAACAAACTTAAACAAGTTAAACCTACTGGTTATTTCATTTTGTATGGAATATATTTAATCGTAGTAAGATTTTTGGAAAAAATTGCTCTGACTTTTTACTAATTTTGGTAAATAATGAAATTTTCCATCGTTACAAAGGCTGAGTTTCAGAAATTATATATGAATATGTGATATTTAAAACTAAGAAGGGTGAGTTAATAGTAAACAGTGCAAAAACAGATAGTAATAACCATCATGCCAAAAGCAATAATGCTTAGTTCGATGTTTCAATTGATAAACACGCAAATCTAATCAGTTTGGTAATAATATTGAGGTGCAATAACTGTTTTATTTAATTTTTAGTCTCTAATTGCTCACCGAATATAAACATGCCATGTAGTCGTTTGTCTCTTTTTAAGCAAAATGAGAACATCATCCGACCCTCAAATATGGTATAGATATGCTTTTTGTTGATAAAACGAATAGAACTTTAATAAAAAAAACTAATTTTTCTACTATCAATTATCAACAAATATACAATGCGGCTTTGTAGGGCTTGGTAACTTATCTGTTTAGTTGCTCTTAAGATAAAGGTAGGCTACCAGGCCACCGCCAATTAAAGTGGCACAGCCAACAATTAAAGGAACGTATAGAGACCTCTTGAGATGCTGCCATTGTTCGTTGGCTTGCTGCCTCCTCTTCATGTCTCGCACCTGCTTTTCCATGTGATGCTTTCGCTCCACTCTTCGACGATGACGCACCTCAGATATACTGAAACAATTAAGTAATTTAGTTGCAAAAATCTAGAAACTTGCGGGCATATTTCTGCAAATGAAGAATTTTATTGGTTAAAAAACAATAATAATCTTACTTGGATCTTGTCTCATCTTTATCTGACAATGGGCTCTCGGTTCTAAGGCTGCCATCATCGTCCTCATTTTCATTCTCTTCGTCCGCATCATCTTCGTCTTCGAGCGAATCTTCACTACTTCCTTCTTCATCTTCTTCTGCAGGTACGCCTGGAAGGGGCCCGCTTGGAATGTATTTCTGAAACAACAAATTCAAATGTAGTTGAGCCTTGGAAGTTTTCGCTGATTTTACCTCTTCAATACTGTTATCGCCGTTTCCTTTATATGTAAGATTATCATCAGATACGCTTTGTGGGATGGTTGGCAGCGGCCTATCAGCAAGTCCATTTTCAACAGGTTTAAGACTGTCGCTGCGAGGAGGTGGTAGAGGCGGTGGCTCGTTGTCTTCTTCCGAACTCAGCGCTTCTTCGTTTATTTCGCTTTCATCGTGTATGTGAATAGACTGAAAATATGTATTAGATCATGCATTTTTGTTCAGAATGTTCCCCAGAAGACGTTCAGAAAAGTTGCGTTATACTTACACACGCACTTAAAAATTTTCTGTGATCTGTTTATGGACATTGGGGATAAGTTGGGATGGGATGGGAGAAAACTGACATATATTAAACACACTAGTTGCTTATCATGCTTTGGTTCTGAAATTTTCATTTGTTAAAAGCACCATTTTTATGAGCTTCAATAAGTATAATTTATAATTAGACGCCAAATGACTTACATGCTCTTCAGATTCATCATCGCCATCAGAGTCAAGGTTAAGTAACTGTTTCGCACCTTCAATAATTGCTTGATATGAAAATCTAAGTTGTTCATGAGTCTGTATAAGACCAGTTCTATACTTCCTCAATTCCATCAAGATTTCTTCAACATTAACGGAATTTAGGCCATATTTTTCAATCTATAAATAGATACATATAGATAAGAATGCATTTAATTACGGTACGAAGAAAATCCTTACCAGAACTAAACATGAATCCACAACGCAAAACGTTCCAGATCTACCGATACCGGCCGAACAATGAACAACAGCTGGACCAACGTCTTCTCCTAAAACTCCCGCTTTTCTGACTTTCTTTAGAAAATCCAAAAACTTTGTTGGAGAGCAAGGTACGCCAAAATCGGGCCATGTGATGTAGTGAAATTGAAGAATATCACGTTGTTCACCACTTTCAAGATCTTTCAATCTTCACAATAGAAAAATCAAAAGTTAACTTGGTATTAACTAGGGTTTGTAGATAAAACCTACCTCAATAATCGAGTTAGGTAATATGAATGATCGTGCTGTTCCAAATATTCAAGTTGCAATCCAACATCATTATATATACACACCGATCCAATACTAGAAGGCCAATACTGATAACATTTCTCAGCCTTCTTTTCAATCAGTTTGTTTAACATAAGGACTGCTTTGCTTCCTTGCTCCCATACCATTAGCCAAAAATGACTGACCGTGTTTACTAAAGGTCCTTGTGTAAGAATATACTGCCTAAAATGCATTAAACGACTTGTTAATACCTGTATGTATTGAATTTTCATTTAATACTGTACGAGGGTGGATCAATAAGTACCCGTGTGTGAAGACAGGCGGCGTTGCTGAGGGATGTTGGCATTACCGTCGTGTACTCTCATCTGTCACACAACACCATACTAAATTTCAAACTGATTCATAGATTCGTTTTTCGGTTTTCGGAAATTCAGCTCAAACTAGAAGGTTATCGTAGAGACAGAAGCGTTTTGAAGAGTTTGACAAATCGTATTTTCTGGAGGAGTTAAAGAAATTGCAGAAACGTTGGGAAAAGTGTATTGTACTAAAAGGAGATTACGCTGAAACTAGAAAAATAATTGTGAAAACCTTCTCATCTCAACAACACCTCTTCATTCCTAACACGGGTACTTATTGATCCACCCTCGAATACACATTTTCGTAACAAAATTTTGCATTTATTTTAACTGGATTTAACATGTGTAAGTACACAAATTTAAAAGTTGAATCTATGTTAGAACACTCAACAGATAACATTCCACCATACTTGAAAAGCAATGTTTTTATAGATAAAAGCAATTACTCCAAAAGTGATCTTGCATTTTTATGCAAGTCATTATGGCTGTTTTATTGGAAATTATAAGTTTGATCATAAAATGATAATTACACATATTTATTTGGTTTCTTGACAATCTTCTCGAAAAGATATGTTGTGTACGAAGGTATAAAATGTGTGGACATTTTATAATTCAAAATTCCGTTCGTTTATCAAAAATATGTTTATTTTACATTCACATAAGATCTGGTCATCAAAAACCAAGGAAAAGATCGCAGTCACAAGACAGGAAGGAGCTAAATGGAAAAAGATACAGGAGAATATTAAGTAAACGCGATTTGTCTTTTTAGAGTTTTCAGAACGTTTCTTCAATCAATACGTATATTACGCGTTAGACTTTAGATACTACTTATGCATTTCAAAACATTTTTTTCAGTCTCCTAATTGTCATAACGTTTACTTGCACCACGATTTTCTAAATGTTCTTTTGTGAATTAATACTCAAACTGGCAATAGCTGTGAATGTTTACCTGTGCGCCTTTTCCACTTTACATAAATTGGCATTTATGTAGTCAGTTGATCCTCTTTTTAATATGACTCGGCTGTGGTCATACGGATGAACATCTCGATATCGGTTCAGATTTTTGTTTTGTGGCTTTAAGGCTTCGGTACATTGTCCAGCTAGTTTCGAGCTTTTAACGCGAATTTTCTGAAATAAAGTAATTTTGTTGAGCAACACTGTAGAATTCCAACGTTTCTTAAATTCTAATATAGGCTTTGCACAAAGAGAATTATTCATGACAGAGTAATTGCTAATGAATGAACTGACTAATTTCACTGGAATTAGTGACTGTTTCTGAAAGCTTTTTATAGAAGTGAGAAGAGCACTGTTGATGAGTGGGCCAACTATAACAGGGAAGTTCGGTCACATTTGATTTACGCAAAGGTAAAATTTTGAGAAATTGCCTAACCCAAACTAACACAGCAATTGAAATATTTTGCGCTTTTATGATTTAAATATAAAACATTAAACATTATATGCGGTTTAAGCGATTCTTAATGACTCTCAATTCTCTCGAACATCAGCCTAAATGAAGTGGTCGGGATATATAAATGTGTTCACAGATTTTTCTGGCTTTGAGTCAAGCAATATCCCCTTGTCGCCCGATTAGGAAATATCCTGTATTAGTCAAGTCTATAATAACCTTTTGATTCATTTGCATGATTCCTTTGGAATTTATCTCACCATGTCTGAGGCAATGCCCTGCTAATTGCATTTTAATAAACCTAAATAATTACTCAAGTTTGACAACCCCCTTCATAAAGTGAATGTAAGCTCGTAAAACGATATTAATTCAAGAGTTTGCTGGCCCGTTCACGTCTAAGCTCTTGAGGAAAAAATGCGCGTTTGGGAATTATTCCAACTGAATTTAGAACGATTACATACGTATTGCACAAATGGCGACAAAACTTTTAACACATGGAGAATGAGAGATAGCGTATGACGAAGTTCTAAAGGAAACGGTAACACGAAGATTTTGAAATACAAGTTTAAAAACTGCTAATGTTATGTTTGAGAAGCATTTTTATACTAGAGGCAAATAATTATCAATGGAAACAAAACTTTATAACGAAAAGACTTACATAATATCAGCGTATAACATAAATAAACATACATAATAAATATAACATAAAAACATTAATAGATAGTTATCGAAACGAACATATTTGCATATAAAATAAATTTACCATCTAGACCAGATAATAATTTGAAAGCAAACCAAGCTAAATGAGTTATTGCTCGATTTAAAAGCAATATTTGATACAAATACCGTTTGTCTTATGCAAAATATTTGTCAATGTAAGGGATTTTTCGCGGCTTAACCGGACAAATAATTTTAGGAATAACAAAAATTTACTGCTTTCGACAGGACTTAACCATGCGACCTTCATAATTCCGGCTTAATACTCTACCAAGTAAGCTACCAAGCAGACAAGATTCGCACTAGCCTTTGGGCAGTAAATCTTGATTCCAATACGGAGTGATACTAATAATTCTTCTTCTTCAAACCACTTTTCGTTCAGAATTCGACATAGGCCTCCCTTAGTTTTTTCCATTTTACATATCTATGTAAGTAATACGTATGTAATTAGACTAAACCGAGACCAGTTTAGTCCCCTTTATCTGAACACTCGTAGTTCGTCAAGGATTGTTCCAGAGGTTCCGAAGGCTGATGCGAATCTTGTMTGCTTCGTAGGTTAGTTGGTAGAGCATTATGCCGGAAGTCATAAAGCAGTAAATTTTTCTTATTCCAAAAATTATTTGYCCGCTTAAGCCGCGAAAAATCCCTTTCATTTACAATTTTGCGAAATTAAAATATCTATATTTGTCAATGTTTAATCTCGCGTTTGGAGACAAATGTCACTATTTTCAATTTWATTTTTTAGTTTAATGTCCAAGTATTCCTTATTTGTTATCTAATTAACATGGCACCATGATTACCTAACATGTAAGATGTTTTATAATTAAGCATTTTGCATGAGGTTTAAGTGTGGTGATCGTGTCGGGGTTCTAAATACTTTATGTTATTGTATTAATGGAACTAAAGCGAATTTAAAATCCGCTGATCTACGTTTGAATTATTTCACTTTTGTCGTAAAATTAACGTTGCAAATATTATCTAGGCTAGTATTTTAACGATTGGGAACTGTTGTCCTCAAATAAATGTTTTACTACAAAATAAATGTGTTCTTGGTAGTGGTCACTTCTTTTCTATTGTGCCTCATCCCATGTCGTCAGCGTAAAAAAATCAATATGCTTTTGTTCGGAAAACTCTTCTGTTGACTGTGAATTATTTAACGTCTTACACATTTTCTGATTTTTCCAGCTAAGTCTTCGTTATGCTATACTAAGGTACAGACTTAAAATAAAAAACGTATTACTTAAAATAACATCTGTTTTCAAGTTTCGATTGGGTAGTTAGTTACAAGTGGTTCGTTTAACTTTAGTTACATTAAATTAGTACCAATTCCAATTACTTTTAAATTTGGCTCTTAGTTTTGTGTTAATGGTAGTTTTGAAACGTGTATGATAGTTTCAGATCAAACAGTTTAATTTTTATAACTAACTAAATAAGAAAAAGTTAACTGAAATTAGTATCGTTCGCTTCGGTTAGTTTCCTTCACTAGTTTGCTCTTTGATAGTCGTTGATCACAATCGATCGAGCTTTTAAAAGCCACGTGGTATTTTTTTATGTTAATGTTAATCACCGACAAAAGATGTTTTTAAATTAAAAAATATGTACTTTAGCAAACAAACTATATCCCTACCAAGTTGATCGTAAATCATAAAATATTAATAAAATAAATAAATCAATAATTTAAAATTCTGATGCTATCTAGCAACTGGTTCCGTGTCGTTTGAATACTTTATTATTAAGCAACGAAGTTAGAATAAAACTGCATAAAAATGTAATTTCTAACGAAAACGTACATAATCCAATAAATCGTTTGCCCTTCTTACACAATATGTATATTCCAAGTGCCATTCTTTACGTTATGCGTGACTTTTGGAAATAATTTTGCAATTATCAATTTTCTCAGCTTAATCGTCTTAATAAGTATTACATACCCGGCGAAAAATCCAATTAAATTTGTGAAGCCTAACACGTTCCAGACTCCGAAGTATTATATCTAAGTTTTAAATAAACCTGTACTTAGTTTCTTAATTTACATTTACCAGCCTTATACTTTATAGCAGTTGCCGGTGTTTTCAAGTTGGTTTTTCAAATTGGCAATCTACTTTCAATTAAACCCAAGTTCCATATAAGTTCCAAGGTTTTACTTCAGCTGGCATCAAATTATTTTCAGTTCATTAGCTGTTCTCACGTAAGCTCAGCTACTCGTAGCTTCCCTTCTCATAAGAAAACATGTAAAGAACTTTTGTGGCCGACAAATATTTCTATGTAGGTTTCAATTCGTCCCACGACTCTTAAATTCTGACCGTGATTCAAAAAGTGAGCGCATATGAGAAAATATGCTGTCATCAGCTGAAGTAAAGCTCGTCTATAAAAATCAGCCTTTAAAGAGCCTCACGACGCTTTACTTCACCTGGCGACAAAATTCGATTCAATTATTTGCCTGTTTTGCTAAGAAGCTGTTCTCAATTGCAATAAGTTTCTACTCATGAAACGTAGGAAGGAGTTTTGTCGCCTGGTATTTGAAAATTAGTCGTTAAGGATGACTTCGCTTTAATTTAATTAAAACTATTTAATCAACACTTTGCGTTTCCCCATAACGATAATCACGATTAGTGTAGTATTATAACCTCAAAAAACTTTAAGTAAACACATGTTGGATTTGTTTTATAGCGATGTTTTACCACCGTCTGATGAGGATAGTGACATTCAGGTTGTTAGAAGACCCCAAATATTTAATCCGCAAGTCAATTATTTTGAAATCTTGGACACCTTGAGTTTTTTACGCTATTTTGCTATCGAAAAACACTGTCCAAACATTACTGCTGGAAATAGAAATAGACCTGCAACATACTACGGAAAGTTATGATGAATGAATAATAGTAAAATTGCCACATGTTCATGAAATGATTTTTTTAGAAACAACACTATTCAATCCATGACACAACTTTTACTTGTGTTGAGGTATTATGCAACTGGATCGCATCTTATTGCTGCTGGAGACTTTTTTGGAGTAAGCAAAACTAGTCCGCATCGAATTGTACATCGAGTAACTGCTACATTAACTCGAAATTACATTTAACTCCCATCTACAAAAAGGGAAATAAGTACAACACAAGTAATTTTTTATGCATTAGCTCGTTTTCCCAAACTTATTTCAGTGTTGGATTGTACTCATATTAAAGTACAATCCTTTGGGAGAGACAACGCAGAAGTATTTCGTAATAGAAAAGGATATTTCTCTATCAATGTTCAAGCGACATGTGATTACTATTTTGAGGGAAAATGATTTCAGTTGATCTGTCAGTTGTTTGAACCAATCAGAACCGTGGATTCAAACGAAATACGATCTTACCCGATGAGACTGATGATTATCTAACCGGAGTTAAAATATTTATTGTGGAACGCATGACAATTTAATCATGATAAAGTGGTGATTAAAAAATGATTGTGATTAGTTAACCAAGAATTTAATCACTCTTGGTGGAACCGGGCCTTATACTGGGTTAAAACTCGTGATGATGCGGTATAAGTTAAAGAAGCGGCTAAGAACTAAGAAAACACGTCGCTAGTCGAAGGTAAAGCCTCGTGAGACGTAGGTATATGAAAATGCTCCTCTAAAGCACCTCACCACTCTACTTCAGCTGGCGACAAAACTTGTCGCCATTCATTTAATGAGGTACAATTATTTATCTGAGTTTTTATGTAGTGTTTTCAACTAAAGAGCGCTGCAGCCTATACGAAAATTGCCCTTTAAAACTGTGAACAGTTTAATCTCCAACTGTAATTTGATCACTAATAAAAACTGCATTACTTTACCAACAGGAAATGACTAAGGGTTTTTTTATCGATGGTGTTATCAAAGTTTTTGCAAATCTCACAACATTATAAAGAAAGAATCAGTTACTGGGAAAGTTATAAATATAATTTAATAGTGCACCTATTACACCAAAAGAATATGTTCCTAAGGGTTGTATAACAAACAATAATGTTACGCATTCAAAACAATAAAATATAAAAGGAGGAGCGGGTGTGTACACTCTGAAAAAACTCAAATCAAGCAAGGCCTACTTTGTATTTAAGTGTGTATGTAAAAAAATATATATGATTTTAGATACACACTTCCATACAAAGTAATTAAGTCGTGTTCGATTGAAATAAAATCAGGCAGAGGTTTCGCTCTTTAAATAACACGAATAAAAGTCTGTTTTTTCTTCAACCGTAATTTTGTGGCGAACTGAATTACTTAAATAACCGGCAAATTATTCAGGAGGTTTTGGTACCGATTGTGTTCTATCAAACTTTTTTGCAAATCTCACCGCAATCAGTATCTGGGAAAGTTTATTAAATGTAATTTAATAGTGTACCTACCTATTCTAAAACCAGAATATCAAAATGTAATGAAAGATATGTTGCAAAGTTTTATATTTATGTAATAATAATGTTATTGGTTAGGTACCAAAACAATAAAATATTAGGTTCTTCAGTCATTATGCAGCAGTTTTGATCCTTAACTTTCACGAATAAAAGTGCGTTTTTGGAGTTTCGAAATGTGCGAGTTTCTCTTTATTTACTTAATAGTTTGTAGTCAGGAAACTAAAACTTGCTACTTCTTGTAGCCTTTGAGCTTATGATAAGTGGTGAAGCTGAGAAATACGACGTTAAAAAATGAACGTTGTTTTAAAAAAAAATTCTGTTTCGCAAACCGACCACAAGCAAATACAGTAAATAGATGCAACGTCAACCTCGAACTTAAAAATTAAATTAAAAAACGAATTCCATAACCAAGTCCCGTGAAATTAGTCACTTTCTTCAAAAATCAAGTTTTCCAGGAAATGTTTTATGATATGAAAATGTAAGTGCTAGTTATATACAGTGGTATTCTTCCCATGTCACGTGTAGGCGTAGGTACTTAGAATAATGTTCACATATTTAATACGGTGGTTTGATGGGGTTCATCAAATATAATCTGTTATCAGAAATTCATGTAATATTATACTGCATTCTGTTTGCAATCAGAACAAGTTTGCGATAGGTTTTTATTACTGTCAAGGTTTGGCCTGGCAAATGGCATTCTCCATCATACTTGGTTTTCCTTTGTGTGTTACGACCTATCGTCTATCGTTGCAGAACAGGTTCGAACAAAATAAGATATAAAACTGAGGGCTCCATACGGGAAGGTTAATTGAATGGAGCATAAATACCTGATAAAATGCCGGCCAGTCGTCGTTTGCGTTGATTTCCAAGTATTGAGTTTCGATATTGTTGCTGCTTGATTCTGTAGTCATGATTGATGATAGAATACGAATTGCCTAGTCTTTGATTTACACATTCACTTTATAATTTCGATACGATACCAGCGTTTCGTGTTTGAAAATGGAATAAACTCACATAAATAAACCTTTAACAGACATGTTTTAACACCATTTTAACCATTTCAACGAAGACAAGGACGAGCATCTGTCAAAATCCCCACCATTTTCAACGAATTAGACAAAGAACACTGGCCCTTGAGTCGATAATAAAGTTTACGCTCGTTAAAGTGGCACATTTTAGCGTCATTCGCCAGATTATTTTGACAGTCGCCATGTTGCTTCTAGGTGAGAGGAAAAGTCACTCAATGTTCTTTTCAATTTTTATTCTTTTTCTCGTTGAAATCTCTGTTTACGTTTTATTTATTGCCTCATTGGTAAGTAGTTTGCAAACATTTCAATTTTTCATATTTTGCGATGGTCGTCTCGAATAAATATTTGAACTGTGCTGTAACTTGTACTTTAAGTATACGCACACAAAGATTGGTTCGTAATAGCGATGGGAACTATCGAATAAAACCTATCGAATTATTAGATAGTTGTAATTCATTCGCATTATTCGATAGCAATGCTTTATTCAGTGATGGAAACTCTCGAATAAAAATTATCGACTTATTCGAAAGTTTTAAGTAGTTAATAAGTTGAAATGTAATTCATTTTAGTTGTTCGATAGCAGTGTTTTATTCATTTGTTTTATAACTATCGGATGATCCGATAGCTTTTCCATTGCAATGATAGAATTAAAATTTAAAATAAGTAAATTGTTTACTTTTTACGCAAAGATATTCAATATTCATTTATTAAAATTGATTTTTTGTTAAAAAAATTTAACAGATTTTTTTGAAAAAAAAAGAGTTTATAGTGAATTGTATTCTTTTTATCATTAACTATTTTTACGTCAAAATGGACTTTCACCACTTTCAAAGAAAACGGCTCATATCGACCGCGGGTGGTATGTATTAAACATCCTGACATTGGATTGCATAATTTCATACTGATGAGATTCATATTTATAAATCGCATCAGCGTGTGAAACATTTGTTACTAGAGAATAGACCGAATCTGTCGAAATGTGACTTTGCCTATTGGGTGACCTTACGCCTTACAGATATTCCTAAAAAAAGTCATAAATTATGATTTAACCTGCCTAAAACAATTCACACTTTCACACTCGACCAGAAACAGATAAATTGTGTCCAACAGTTCTACACACCATACGATTTGTAGGGAATTGGATTTCGATCACTAAAATTTGATTTATATACCTTATCAAGTTACATTGGCATCGTGATAATAAACAGCTTAGGGTCAAAAAGTACACCTGCATCTCGAATCTGAAAGATGCAATTTGCCATTTTCTAAGGTAGCCTTCAATCTGCAAGTATCAAAAATTTTTGAATCGTGTGTTATAGTGCAAAGCCAATCAGCAACAGTGTTCATAATTTTTAATGCGTTTAGAATGCATTAAAAAATACGACTCGATTTCGAATTACTTCGTTTTACACATCACAAAATAGAGTACTCCAATAACTCTCAAAAACCAGCAATTTGAACTAAACCATTTTGAGTGCGATAAATATTTTCATTTGAAGGCATTTTAATGTATTTTATCCTTAAATCTGTGAATGTATTAGATTCTTTCCTTGAATATAAGTTATAATATATATTATAATAACATGACAGTTATACTTGGTCATCCAACGGAAAAGTCAATCAATGCAATCATAAAATTTTTAACTATTAATAAACTTCAACTGTGAAGAATTTCAAAATAATCAGCCCTACTCCTGTGTGTTTAGCCATTGTGTAGTAGTAGTAGTAGTAACCTTTGTTGTTTGAGTTACTAAACCCCAGTTTTCTCAACTTTTAATGGAGTTTGTGTTCACGTTATTTGATTCGGAGCCTTGCAGTGCTCTGAGACGGGAAGAATAAGTCCGAGGTTTGGGGAGTACAAGCTCGTCTATCCTGACCCCCCTTCAAATCGAGCTGGCAAATTGCTGAGAGCAGAGCCAAGAAACGACAAGACAAGACAAGACGAGATGGTAGAGAGCATAGATAAAGACGAGACGGTAGAGAGACGCCGTGAGAATCAACAGGCAAAATTGCCTCCTATTGGCCATTCGTATACCCCGATTTATCACCCAGTATTCGTAGTGGAGACTCGATATAACCAATCGCCTACAAGCTCCTACTATATTGTTGCATATCATTAAAAAATGTCTGCCTTAAAATGTACTTTTTGCTTTAAATATACGCCCACACACAAATAACTACTGATATTCCCCATAAACGAATTAATGTATTTGGGAGCTTTACCAGCATTTAATGCATGTTACGAAGCTGGAACCTGGAATAGAATACTGCGCTCATTTTCATAAAAATAAGTAAATAAGATTTCTTTCAGTGTTTCCGATAATTAAACTACTCAAACTTGAACCGTTTTTAAAAATAAGTAAAATATTTGAATAGCTGAACTGATGTAGAGCTAATAGAGTGAAGGTTTCTGAGTTAACTGGTCTAAACAACATCCTTTCAGCTCATTTCAATTTAATGAATCCTTATTTTTAAGGGGTGTATTTAAATAATTTTAAATACACAGGTTCCTATAATGGCCAGAATTTCTTTTATTAAATTCTATTTTTGCAAACTAAATTTGTACCGTTAATACATAAAAAAATAAGAATCTACTACATTTTGCGATCTCATTCAATGTTATTTTTCTACTTTAAACCACTTAAAACCGGCGAAACCATGCAGTAAAATTTCGAGTCATTTAAAAAGTTAGCGACTGATCACTTTGCTTTTAATTTTTATGGGATATTTTTAAAACTTTATGATTTCTTAATTTTGAAAGTTACAAATAATAGTCACTTAATTAGACCTAGTTCGATAAACGATTTTCCTTTTTTTAATGTGAAAATTCCATTTAACTCAACGTCCCTTAAAATGGCCACCCTGTACGGGCGAAAATGAAACTGTACGGAAGAAAAAAATTCATTAGCCTATTTATGAAAAAAATTGTATAACATTTCTGTATAGCTGCTGTAAGGGGCATATCGCTGAGACATTCTAGAAATTGAATGGGATAGTGTGTTTTATTTGGAAACTTTTACCTGTTTGCTTTTTTTTTATATCTGCTACCGTTATCCAGAAAATAAATCTAGCTGATACCATCATAAACATAATTTGATTTATGTATTTCAGATTCGAGAACAGCAGGATCCAGACCAAGAAAATGTGGTAATTTCGAATGATTTTCCGGTAAGTTTTGTACCTTATTTCAATTCAGTGGCTTTGGGTTGTACAGGGTACATAAATATGGGTTAACAGAGCCGTATCTTAAAAACTAGCACTTATTCAAACGCGACTGTGAATAATTTGAAATACTTTACGAAAGGTGGATAACACTCAAAAGATTTTTTGGAAAACGCAGGATTGCGGAAACATTACATTTATTAACGATTTCAATACGTAATATAGTTTTGTCGTATTTTACACAACAATATACCTATGCTACTACTTATCAAATGCATCTACATTTATATACCTATATGATTGATAAGCCCGCTTACCTAATGAGAAAATTCAGTCTTTACTAGCTAACACGCATAAATGGCTATTTTTAATAATTGGATTGAAGTTCTTCCAAGTTTTCACTTGTTCAAAGAGTCGAGGACCGGGACTCAACGTAGGGCGGCATTGACAGTGAGCGACTAGCTGAAAATCCGGGGAAATAGCCCCAATTTCGATCCCATGATTAATGAGCTTTTGACATCTGATCAATGATTTTTTGGGTGGCAGATGTTTCAAAAAACAGCCCACAAAAGCAATCGCTATCGAAAATTTGTTGTAAGAAACAGAATGTCGACCCTCTTTGTACCAGCCTCGTCCTGAAAAACACCAACAAAGCACATCTGAAAACTGATTTCGAATAAGCGTTCCACCGAGAATAAACCGTTTATTACATATTTATAAAAGTGTTGCTGGCTTGCAGTCGAAAACTCACGATTTCAAATGAATTTAAGATTCGTACAAGCAATTGAGAAATTAAGCAATTGCGATCAAAAGCTATGAAATTATCAGACTATTTATTTATCTAAATTTACTTTCATTTAGCATATTGATTTGCAAGTTACCTAAATAGGAAACATTTAATTTAAAACATTAGAGAGGAGTTATTGACGGTTATATTGAAGTTATACTTCCACAAATTACTGTGGAAGTACTAAACAGATGTATGTAATTTTATTCTGAAGTAAATTTAGGACTTAAATAAGATTGGCCTGTCGTGTTGGTTGCTATTTCTCGAAGATGCTTTCTAGAATATAGAAGTAGGTAAATAATCAGGAAAAGAAATGGGGAATAGGAAATATGTTGCAAAATATAATGCCAATGTTGTTTTGAAAATGTCTGTTTTGCACATATTGCAACTTCAAATAAGTAGGAAGCATACATTCACTAATAAGTATATCACAGTATTATCTAAGATCGTTGTTACATCTTCTCGTTTTTAATGGCACATGTAGGTTTAAAGTCTGGATTGAAATGTTTCCAAGATTTAATTTCTTCGAAAATTGAAGCTCCGGGACTTAGAAACGGTCGACATTGACTGTGAGCGATGAGTTGATAATCGGGATTTATAGAACCAATTTCAACTCCGTGGGCAATTAGCTGTTGGCATTTTTTTAAAGCTCCCTGGGGTGGTGGATGGTTCAGAAAACAGCCGATAAAAGCGATTCCAACAGAATTGCGATTATAAGATGATGTGTGGGAGCCTACTTGAAACCATCCACGCCCTAGAAATGTATTACAGGAATTGTTTTAAAATTGATCAATGAAATATTAATTTTCAAACCGTTTTAGTGTGACTCTACAGAGTTAAAAAGTAATCAACCTTTGGTTTAACACTAATATTGATTACTATCTGGTCGATCACATTTATTCGTTTTGAGTTTGTTTTAATATAGATAACTTTAGGAAATCGTACCTTCATAAGCATTACCATCTGAGCCAATGCAAAAGTTATAGGCGATGTCTCTCCAACCTCTACTTTCAATGTGAAAGGTCTGCATTAGTCGGAGAATCAACACATTTTCTGCTTGAGAAAATCCTTCCTCGGTTGCAGTGTGGCCTAAATAAAAAAGTTCCTGTGTTAAAACTGCTAATAGTTTTGAGGGTTTTGCAAAGATTTGTTGTTTTTTTATTTGTTTGTGGCAATTTTTTTGCAAGTTACGATTGTCTACGTTTGGTTGCATAATTATTAGTAGATTCCCAGACAAAATTCTTATTAGCAAATGCTCAATGACAGAAATCAAAACAGAAGTCTATATACATTTTTACTTGAATGGCCTTCAGGACCCAAATACCTAAATACTTACATATAATAACATATTTTGCTGGTTCCTTCAGATATTCGATTTCGGCAACACTGGGTTGTGCTAGCCAAGAAATCCGTTTGAGCAGAGGAAATGGATCTTTAGGGTATACTTTCATCGGTCTTTCGCAATTCTGGTCGTTGTTTTCTATATTGAGCACCACCTGTTCAGTTATGTTAAAAATATGTCCTATATGGACAGGGCCTCCTCCCTCAACACTTATTAGATCCGCAATTCTTGATCTGGATGTATCATTTAAGGTGTCTCTTATTATCCCAGCTGCCGTGTCCATTAAGTTACTTCGGTATCGCGGCTACGAAATAATATAGGTATAATTAAAAATAATTATTGAAGTATGTATTGAGAAGTTATTGATTGTAAATTTAAAATTTATGCGCCTTTGTTGTCCAAACCATGTCATAAATCAAGTTATTCGGGCAATTTGTTTGTAATTAATATACAGGGTTATTTACGTAGACCGTGCAATAGAAGTTTTCCAACTTGCAGTTGTTTTAGAAACTTGAAATTTTGTTTCCGGTCATAACGAATCGTGCCTAAACCATGTAAAGTGCGTTTAGCCCTGCAACTATACAGGGTGTACGAAAACCATAGCCTAGCTCTTTTTTATTTTAAATGCAAACTCCTAATTTTTTAGCACGGTTGGATTTGCCTTCCAATTACGAGTTTGGGTGACCCTAGTTTTGTTAACTTATCTCTAATAGTTTTTGATATATGTCAATTGTTTAAGAAAAATATGCAATTACCTATTTTGTATACCTATACGTGCCTGTAAAAAAACTGAAGTTTCAACATTTTTTTATGTCAATGTTTTTAGGCTGCATACATCCATATACTACCTACTAAATTTGAATTTTGAATTTAAAGCCGTTAATTTGATGGTATTTTTTCTTAAACAAATGACTATCAAAAACGATAAGAAATAAGTTATGAAAACTAAAATGGCTCAAACGCACATTTGAAAGGCCAATCCAGTCCTGCTAAAAATTAGGGGTTTGTATTTAAAACAAGAAAGTTATTTTATAGCTTTTCTACACCCTGTATAGCTACAGGGCTAAATGTATTTTGAATGGTTCGGGACGAGTCGTTATATGACTGGAAATAAAATACGAAGTTCCTAAAACAACTTTAAGTTGGAAAACTTCTAATGCACGTAAATCACCCTGTATAGTGTTCTATTTTACATTTATATATTTTTTTTCAGAAATCTAGGACAGAGCAAGTTTTAACATACTTACAAAAATCATCATTATTTTCCAATTTTAGTAGTTTTTAGTTCAAAATGTTTGAGTCTATTTGGTACAAACTGTAATAAAAAAGTGTAATTTACATTTTTGCGGTTAAAGTACTATATACTATAATTCAGTCCTGGTTCAAAGTCTTTGACTAAGACAAAACTTAGTGGAAACCTCGATTGACAAAATTTAAAATGCCGCGTCCTTTGAAAGTTATATTCTGAAAGTTCTTTAGGCATTAGAACTTTCCTAAATGTTAATAAAAAATTTAAGAAACTTTACTTATCGTATGTATAATGTGGTATACATTGTATTCGTAGAAAGATGATGATATTAAATTCAGATATTTTTTTGGTTTCTGCTATTTAAGTTATTGAAGATGTTCAGGATTATATTGATATCCATAACAATTTATTTTAACACTTTATATTTTTTGCAAAATTAATGTAACTTTGCAATTATATGTCGATATTACCCTCTCTATGATCTCAATTATATTTTATTGTAGTCAATTTAGTTGGCTTTGATTAATCTAATCGATTTATTTCGCTTATATTGATTATTTGATGTACATGGAATTCCCAGAACCTTATCTGTTTAATTTAAAACTTTATCTGGCAAATAATTTTTGCAAGCTATTTATTAAAATACTTACCACACCTATATTTCGAATTGTTGGAGCTTTTTCTATTACATTTATATAATAATTTAATTTTAACAAATCTACGATTATGTATAACTTCTTGCAGAGTTAACATTTTTCTGCCTACATAGGAGTATGTCTGTACGCTATAACTTTGGTCGTACGTCATTAGTGAAGAAATTTGACTACCAACATAAAAACGATTATGCTTGAAATTTGGGTGCAAAGTCGAATTGGAGAACCTCAAACAATCATAAAATACAAAAAACTTTAGAATACCACCTAATTTAAAGTGATGTTGATTATTTATTTTCATCTTTGAAATTATTAGGTTGCTGAAAATTACAATGCTGCCGAATCGATCGTAGATTTATCGGATTTTTTTAAAGACACATGATGCTTGCTTGTTACATTTGTCATGTACTTGTTTATGTCTTTTGCGTTGACGGTGTATTTGTGCTTTTGAAATGAACCATTATTCCATAAAGAATAATCAGCAAAGGCGAGACAGCATTGAGATAATTTAATACTGCTTCGAGTATTTATGTTAATATAATTTATGGCGGATATTGCAACAACGCTCGACCGATTCGACGATTCATGACGTGCGACCAGAATTATAGCCCCAAACTAACGTACGAGGGTCGTTTGATAAGTCAGTGACTTTTTAAATTTCCCGCGCAGTAACGTTAAATTCAAGATTATTCCCTTCAACCGTCGTCTGTTAGTAAGTAGACTGCTGTGAAATTTTGAGCACGCGACGTCATTTATTTCGTGTTTAACAGTCATTGAAAGGATTTTCGACAAAAATGGAAAAAAGTTCATTTCGAGTGCACATCAAACATTATTTTTTACGTAAAAAAACAACCAAAGAAACGAAGCAAAAGCTTGATAAATACTATGAGGACTCTGCACCATCAATAGTTAAGAAGTAGTTTACTGAGTTAGTAGGTCGTATCAGCACAAATGACGCAGAAAGTTCAGGTCGTCCAAAAGAGGTTGTTACGCCAGAAATGGTCGATAAAATCCATGGAACGATTCTGGATGATCGGAGAATAAAAGTGCGTGAGCTGCTGTAGGCATGTTACCTCAGAGGGTACATCACATTTTACATGAATATTTGGATATGAAAAAGCTATCTGCATGATGGGTGCCGCGATTGCTAACACTCGACCATAAGCGCTCCCGCGTGATCATTTCAAATGAATATTTAGCGATGTTCCGTCGAAATCCTAACGAGTTTTTGCGATGTTTCGTAACTGTTGACGAAACGTGGATCCATCACAACACACCACAGACCAAAGAACAATCAAAACAGTGGGTTTCTTCCGGTGAACGTGCACCAAAGAAGGCCAAAATGGGTCTGTCGACCAACAAGGTGATGGCCACATTTTTTTGGGATGCAAGCGGTGTCGTTCACGTCCATTACCTTGAAAAGGGTAAAACGATTACTGACGCATGTTGACTTGAAACTAAAACAGCCGCATTTGGCGAAAAAAGTGCTGTTTTATTTTCAAGTCAACACACATTTTTTACGTTTACATTGCACGGTGCACACGTATGTAGTCGCCATGGCAAAAATCCAAGGAATTAGGCTACGAACTGCTACCCCACTCAGCATTTTCTCCAGATTTAGCCCCCTGCGACTATTTTCTTTTTCCAAACCTGAAGAAGGGTACGGCGGTAAGAGATTTGAGTCCAATGAAGAGGTCATTATTGAGACAAACGCATATTTTGAGAACCTCTAGAAATTATACATATTATAATGAAGGAATACAAAAATTGGGCAGACGCTGAACTAAGTGCATCGAGCTAAAAGGAGATTATATTGTTTTTTGGCCGAAAAAAAATTACTTCATTCAAAAATTCACTGACTTATCAAACGACCCCCATACCTACGTGATAACTACGTATTATAATTAATGTCTTTGGAGCTACCCAAAGGTAGAAAGCGTTTCTTCTTATACAGAACTTCTATATTTAACCGTTAGACATTTAAAGCTTTACATTAGGAAAAACAAATATTTTGATGTTATTATTAATAAATTGTATCAGTATCTATGCCCTAAATTTTCCATAACTGCATTGAGAAAATCCCCGGCTAATCAACAATGTCTACTCTTTTTGCAAATTGATGGTCTTAAAATTATTAATTAAACATTAAAAACATATATTTCGTAATTGAAAATAACATTAGATTTAAAACACTAGTTGGAAAAATTTTCGTGTAAATCTGGCTAATTCTGTAACTCTTACCAAAGTATTCATTTTAGTTTCAAAGGCATTACATAGACCCTCATCAATATCACCATCGAGATAATTCAACTCTTGATTTTTCAATACTAGTTGCCTATCACTTTCTGATGTTCTCGATTCTTCTTCGTCGATCTCAGTAGTATCTGCATCACTCAAGTCACTATCGTGATCATTTGGATTCTGATCTGTTACTTCTAATTGCTGATCCCTTCCCATACATTTTGTGGACTTGTTTTCTTCCTTGACGGGCTCAGTAAAATTGGCATCACTTAACTCACGTATCGTGCACATTTTATCGAATTCAAACACCACACGATTAGCAGTCCCCATTTGAGACTGTAATTGGCGATATATGCGCTTTATCTCAAATACAAATAACACTACATATGCTATGATTCATATTTGAGTTTAAGTGTAATCAAATTTATAGAGGTGCTATCTATATACAGGGTGATTCAAAATTGGCGTCATTCCTTTTAAGGGGTAATAGAGGCTCACTTGGAGAGTACGAGAAAAATATTGACATTTTTTTTTCGAAAATTTCTAGAAGATATTAACAGTTGAAGATCGAATTTCAACTTTGTTATTAAGCATTATTTTGAAATTTTTCCATGTTTAATTGGTAGCATATTGGAATACTTAAGCATTCAAAAAGAAAAATTACGGTCTTTGCTTGAAATTACGAAAATTTTTGATATCAAAAAAGTTCTCTTCTACAATTTTTTGATCGAAAGGCACAGCGGCAATGATGTTTTTTGTCATTAACAGATAGTTACAAGTGGATAGCCCTTGTCAATCATAACAATAATTTGTCAAACTGCGACTTGCTTTGAATTTCCTTTCACAAATTTGCGGATATGCGATTAGTTCAGGGGAAATGCTACAGTAACATAGCCGAAGCTGAAAGAACTCACGCCAACAAAGGGCGAGAAGAGTGGTTCCAGGAAGATAGTGGACGACAATATATGTTCGGGTTCCAGGCACAGAGGAACAAGTATTGGACATAATCGAATCAGGGCCTTCCAGGGGCACTCAGAGCGCAATAACGGACACTTTCCCAACCACCAAATAAATACCGACGAAGGGCTACATTCCTACCACGTTTGTACGATACACAGCACAAGGAGATACAAATGGAGCACGAGTTAATTAACTGAATACGAGAAGCTGCTTGATAAGAGTGGATAATAAGGAGATTACACAGATTCAAATGTTTGGTGTTGTATGTTTTTTTTTTAAACACCAATATTCGAGGTTATGAGAACAGGTTGACATTTCGTTAACAAATCTTGTTGAATTTACCGTTTATCCTCGTCTATCTTATTGTCAGTCTGTATAATTCAATGGTTACCGGAGTTTTAAATAATTACGAAGCAACAGGAATCTGTGCAATGTTAATTAGGCAGATTCCCTTGAAAAACATTGCTGCCGTATTTCTGATATAGTTTTTTGCAAATTTCTCAGTTTTTAATAACAATAAATTTCTTGTACTATTTTTTCTGTACTCCTATAACAGCGCCAGACAACACCTCCAGAGGAATGACGCCAATTTTGAATGACCCTGTATATCCAGTATCCCATGACTTTATCCATATGTTATATTGGTTGCTTTACCATACATTTACTTAATTTTTTTTATTATCGCGCTTATATGCATTACCACTTGATAGCCTTGACCCTTTACTAATGAACAAAGACTAGACACTGCGCATTCAGACATACAAATAATGTGGGTGATACTGATGAGTCAATAGCCACATTAAATATAAACAAATTTCTTAGTTTGGGTTTTGAAGTTATAGTGGCATTGCTAAAAATGTTTTTCCATTTAATCTCTGGCCAAATACTCCGTTCTTAGTGCAGACTTTTATCTTTTTTAAGTCATTCTGTTTTCTATTATTGCTATTCTCTTATCTTTTTTATACCTATATCATGGGACAATTCAGAATCCCGAATTGATAGGAATTGGTTGCTTTTTCTGTTCTGATTGCAAATGAGATTTAAAAAAATATTGGTTTATACGTAAAATATATATTTTTTTGTTATATTACACCTATAAATATAAAAACCAATTACAGTCACATGCTGCTTGTGAAATTTGCTTTACATACTATTAAACTCTTATCAGCTTCAAGTGTTCATTTATTTTCGAGATTGATTTCGTTTGTCGCTTTTGTTTATGTGTTCGTTTATTATGAGTACTTTTTTCAAAACCCACTTTGCCTAATCAGACTAGAGGCGATATTAGATTATACGGCGCAGATGAGTAACTTTTATTGTCGAACTATATAATTGTCTAATAACACTGCAAATACTGTAACTTCCAAGAAATTGCTTGTTGTTGAATGCTCATTAACCGATTCATAACGACGTTAGGAAATTATGGAAATAATAGATACAGAGTGATTTTTAAGTTTTTTTTCGTTTAACACAAACACAGACACGACATTTCTTTCAAATATGAAAATTAATGGAGATTCCACGTGCTAAAACCTGAAATTACAAAAAAATACTTAACAACATTGATGCTACTTTGGCCAGGTATATCTCAAGAACCATTAGAGCTATAGCAGGGCTTCATTCCTTCTGCTGACTGAAAACGTGCACTTTCGAAATAGTTCTTAATAATAAAAGTCAAGAACTGTTTGACCTACAGTGCTCATTTTCTTACCTCTGGGTAGAGGACTAAGAAAACCATTTATTTAATGGTCATATTAAAGTCAGATATATTAGCAGTGCAGGCAAAAAGCAATGATTTGATTTTGTCATTTTATCAAAACCCCATAACATATTTTCTGACAATCTTAAATATAAGTGATCTTCAGAATGTCCCTAAATTATATCATCTTTCTTGGTAATTGAGTAAATCCAGGTACAAAAATACGCTAAACTGATGGTTGGAAAAATATGAAGAATCAATTTTCATATAAAAAACACCGTTAATAATTATCCCGTACGATAAGTATTATTGTCAATGTCAGTGGCTAAAGATGGCATCTGAAACTAAGAAAAAATTCTTTAAAGAAGTTCGACCCATTCTGTCCTTGGACCATCACGAAGCCAGAAGGCGAGTTCTCAACTTGTACAAAGCTTGGTTTAGGCAAATTCCTTTCATGGGTAATCAGTTTCACTAGCAATGTTACCTAAAAATTATTTGCGTTATGTTATAGCAGGGTTTCATTTTTCAGTAAAATATTATGATGTAGAATTTAGTGAAACTCGCTGCAAACAAAAGCTCAGGGAGGAATTCACAAAACACCCTCAGATTAATGATATCAGAATTATTGATATGCTTGTAATCAAGGTATGAATCTCATACTATATGAGAAAACTGTAGTTTGTGGCTACGTGTTTGTTTCTGCTGTTGCTTGTAGGGTCAAATGGCTCTAAATGAAGTAGCAGAAAAGTGGATTTCAAGACGAGGTGTTGCCCAGTATTTTAATAAACCAAGCGACCCAACACGTGATTGTTTCTTAGCAAAATTTCTCAAAGGCAATGATTAAATGCATTTTTATGAATATTAGTTTCTTATGATTGCACTAATGAATTATTTTTCAAATAATTAAGTTTAGTCAAATCTATAGTAGTAAGTAAATTTATCTACGAAGTCGTCTGGATTTCAGTTTTTGGTTTAATTTTAGCAGCCAGTAGAGCAAGTCGTATCCATAATAAAGCAAATTTACTTAATAGGTGATAATGGCACCCGAATTCGATTGCTTGTAAATATGCATTATACATGAATGATACACATGTAATTTTAGACAAATTAATTTGTTTTTAATTCTATACATGTTGCTAGTTTGGCATCATTCAACTGAAAAAAAACTTACAGAGTTGAAAAGAAACCGGGAGAAGTCGCTTTATATTATTCCCAGACAAAGTATAAAGTGAGAAAAAATTCGCCGTATGGAGGCTTAAGAGTTTACTACAGCTTATTAGAATAAACTCGCGAAAATCCACAATTATCAACTCAAAGTACTTTCCATAAGTGCTATGTGATTGAGACAGATTCATGTTTTGCAAACATTTTTGATGGGTACTACGCCTCAAAATGTTTGTCGTTTAAAAAGTTAGAATTAAACGAAAACTCAGAGCGATTTGTATTTATTTTGCTTCTGCTAAACAATTATTAATATACTCCTTTTTAGGTATCTTTTGAGAACCATAGTAAATTTGCTATCCAAATTTCAATGTAACTTCTAAATTAATTTCTTTACTAAATTTTCACTTACAGCTTGAGCCTAAGTGTGTGGTAGGCGATAGTAGAAATGAAAAGACGTAAAAGACGTCGTGAAGTCTATTATGTTTTATAGCGTTTTTTTCTCTATGTGATATTTCAGATTTATTGTTTTAAATACTTAGAAGCCCAGTTAAAAGGTTATATTTACTTATCCCATTTGATTCTCTGATATGATGTTATTTATTTTCCCTTGGGTATAAACTAGGCCTCGTAATCAAAATAGAATCATTCGAGTATTCGAGTATTCGAATATTCGAAAAGCGAATAATTATGTCTAGTCATAACTCGAATATTCGATTACTCGAATATTCAAATACTTATGTATTCGCATAAAATTGAGGCGTAAAGAAATTCGATGTACCACACATGCTATGATGCAGTTTGGCAATTTAGAGGGGGTGGCCGTGAAAAATCCTGTATATTTACATGGTTTTTGATCATCACATTGAAATCATGTACTTACAATTTCTTCATTAGTTGAATACTCGATTATTCAAATATTCGAATATTCGAATACTCGAGTATTCAAATATTCGAATATTCGTTAGATACTCGAATGATTTTACTATTCGAATAAACCACTAAACGAGTATACGAATTTCAAATTTTTAAAATAAAGTTTCCGAGCACTAGTTTAAACGTCTTGAAGTTTTGGAAACTGTATGTTCGATGCAGATAATTTAAAAATGGCATTCAAATGATTTGAAGGAGTGCTTTAGAGATCGAAATAACTTATTTCTCCCATGCGGTCATTCAACTAGGTTTTTTCTTTTATATAATGATACATTCGGTACTCAAGAAATGAAAATTTGCTAGCTTTATCGAAGTGACCAAATAATCAGGTAAATTGAAAATAATTATTACCACAGAAAACAATTTGTCATCGCAAAATGCGACATATTTTATGAGTCCAAAGAGTTAGCTCAAGAATAGATGAAAGCTATTAGGGAGAGGTATGCGGAAGTTGAAGGAGGTAAATTACCGTAAAACTTTAAGGAAAACTAACACAAACTTTTTGCTAACTTTCGATGAAGAGTATGCACTATAAAACCGAGATTTTTAAGAATCTTATAGAAATGGAGGTTCTTTACAACAGAAAAATGCAAACTTATGTGTGTCAAAATGTTGGGACTGCATTTTGACTGAATAATGACTATTTGCACCTCTTGTATTGTTGTTGGCACCAGTATGCTGTACAAAATTACAAATTCTGTTTACTTTGGCAACTGAAAAAGTGTCAAACTTTTTAAATTGATCGTTTTTCCATAAGCTCAAAATTGCGAGTGAAAATGGCACCAAAAACGCGCCAAGAAGAGAAAATTAGCTTGGATAAAAAGTCGTTGGTTCATTTCAAGCCAAAAATAAAATCAAATGGATTGACCTCTGTTCCAAATAGCATCTCGGCGAATTCTTGTCCGATTGCGAACAAGCAGAAATCACCCGAAAGTTACGAAAATCTGGTATTATTCTATTTGAACAAGTTAAGATACTTATTCTCGAACGCGCATCCTCAGCCAACTGCCAGAGAAAACAGCGCTTTGAAGATGGATAAAATGCAAAGAGATGATGCCTCGAGTAACAGCTATAAACCCAATGTGATGCATCCATGTAAATACACTTCGAGCAATCCTCCAAGACCCAGAGAAGATAATATGAAGTCAAAGATCTACAAAATGGTATCTGCAGCGATCGAATATGGTTACGCAAATGATGTACTTGAAAAAAAAGGGGGTTGTTTTTATTTCAAGAATAAACGACCTGGCCTGGCTTTAAGGGCTCCTACCCCCGGTCCCCAATCTACACGGTATTGCAGCAAATGTTGCAGCCTTCATGGTTATGCCGACAGTAACCCTCAAGATGGGTTTATGTCTCGATGTTTCGAACAAGGACCATCAAATCAGTCCTACAACAACGCCTGGCGAAACATGGATTATTCTAGAACGGACAGAAATTATCGGGGCCGGATTAGCAACAGTCCTGTGCCAAGCTATGCGCATTCCGAGTACTGTTATAGACCACCAATTCCAGACAACAGTAAAGAAAACCAAATTAAAAATGTTCTTCCATGTCCAGACTGCCGGGCGCTTGAACGCTTACGAAAATAGTCAGCTTTGTTGTTGGTATTAGTTATCTGAGTAAATGTGTCCATTACCGCTTATCTGCATGTTTTTTTAGTTAGAATTGATGGGGTTTATTATCTGAATTGACTTAAGTGATTTTGACTTGTAATTATTCGCTTCTGGTCAGTGAGTATTATTGTTTGCCCTCTTATTACTTACACAGGGTGCTTAACATGAGCATACCTTATCCGAAAGTCTTTTTATGGAAATATGGGTGGTAAAAGGTATAATAAAGTTTTAAGAATACTCGAGGCTTAATAATAAAACAAATCACGGAATCTTTCGAATAATAAATTGAGAAAAGTCCGGAATTATTATTTATATTAACTCTTCAATTTCACCCCACTTATACTCTTTACGCAGCGTTTTATCAGATACATTTGAGTTTGAACATCCTATTGGAATTCCCTCTGATTTAGTAACGACTTTAATTTTATTTTATTTAAAATGGCCTATCCAAAAAAAATGCCAAAAAACTCTGCACCAATCAGTAGTTTTAACACCCCTAGATGATTATCATCGATACACAAAATTATCGCCAAAAAATTTAATCTTTGGTTGGTTATACCTGTAGAGAATGGGCAAAATGTAAATGAGACCAGGAAGAATTTGCAGCATCAAATTCTGTACAGGAGCAAAATTAAATGAAAACAGTTTCACTTTTCTCAGAATTCTCCAAACGGTGGATTGAATTATGCTTATTGCTGTACTTAAAAGACGAGTACTTATAGCTGAATTTTCAGACATAATAACCATTTCTTCCTCTTTCTACTCTTTAAAAACCTTTTTTGGAGCGCTGTTTTTACATTTTGGACAGAAAGATCCTCTTTTTTCTAAGAAATTGTACATATTTCCAAATAGTTAGTGGTTTGGTTGCCTTCGATTGCGATACATTTCATAATACTTCGAGCTGAGACAAGACCATTGAAGTTTTCTTGTGCAAAAATGCCATGAATCTCATTATTTTATTGATAAACTCGCAATGACGGGGCTTTTCCAAAATTATTCATACATAATTATTGCTAAAATATTTAGTTATTTATCAGCCCAAGAGTTTGTTTATCTATTATTTATGGAGGAAAATATGATATTTTGTTTGTAAGACAGCCTTTGGCGTATTATAAACAAGACCTAGTGATCCTTGAATGCATTTTTCTCAAAAATGAATTGTAATGTCTAGATGAAATAAAAACACTTACATTATGTACAAATTATTCCGACTTTAGTTTTGAAATAAATTTAATATTACACTCATGGGTGGGTGATAAGTTACTAATCAAAATTCCGGCAAAAAATGTCGCAACTAGCGCCCCTATTTAAGCAAAGCGAAAATTACAACACGAAGATTCTTCGTCTGAAAAACTACCACCTATTTTTAGTCTTTAACCCATGTATTTCCAGAAAACTGGGAAAAAAACGATAAAGTATTTTAGGTCATTGGTCACTATTTTACTTGTAGTATGTCTAGTTTCTGAATTTTCCATTGTTAATGAATCACCCTGTAATATTCCTGTAAATTTTCCAACTCGCTTTATATTGAAAACAATAAATGAAAAACTAGCTAACGGTTCAAGATGTTTATTATAATTTACAGTATTGCTCTAAGAATACTGAGTACTTAGTAAATTTACATGTTTGAGTAGGATCCTAACAATATACATAGCTTTATTTCTACCTAGGTTAAGGACTTTACTGTACAAGTTTTCAATAATATATATAACAAGTAATATCAGGAAATAAAATAAAATATTTATAAATAAACCTATATAACAATAAAAGTTTCTCACCTTTTCAACTTAATTATGCTTTTCCATTAAACAAAAATTGACTTGATAAGGACAAACAATAGATATTAAAATTTTGGACGAAACAGATTGAATGGCGTCCAACTCAACACTTTTCACTTATAGACCTTCAACTATAAAGTACTAATTCAATATAATGGTAATGGGGTTTTCTACAACGCTAATTGGATCCTTAAAAACTCAAAAAATTACTAGCATTTTTGTATTAACACAAAATGAGAATGGCACAAAATAATTTTAGAACATCAACCGATAAAAACTTGGAGCTGCAGTAATCATATGTCGAAATCGAATAGTGATTTGTTGGATAAACTAAATACCCTTTGAAAATAAAAGGTTGAATGCTTAGTTTTCCAACTTTTAGTATCGCGTTTCCTGTATTTTGATCATCACAGACTGTAGCAGTGATAAACACTTATTTATAAATATTTGTGTATATAGGTATAGGTAGTTTGCAAGATCAATATACCGACCGAAAATTTGACTTTCTTACTTTAATACTTTTTAAGAAGGTTTTAATTAGTTTGAGTTTTTAATTCGGAAGGAAACATGCCTACTTATAATAACGTTTCTATATTTACAAAATAAAAATATAGTTGCACAAGGAGATGTGCGACCAAACAAAAAATGCATTGATAAGTCTAATAGCTGTAGTATTTTTTGCTTGATATTACTGGCATCTCAATGTGCAAATAATCTACGAAAAAATAATTGTTTCTATAACAGAATTTGCTCCTAAAGTAATACAATCTACGAGATAGTGAAATCACTGAAAGAAAAATACTGCTTTATAAATCTAAATCTTCTAGGACAGAAACCGCCTATGGAAAATGTCGTTTTCTTGCTGCATCGTGCACTGGCCCCACTAATATATTTGAACACAGTGTACCACCGTATTTCGTTTTTTTGTGAAATAAATTAGAAGCCTATGCCCAATAAGGAATGCCTAGAAACAGAAACAGATCATTAAAGTTAAAAAATATCTGCAATATGACTTAAAATTTAGGACCGATATTTGCTATTAATGATTATACAGTCGGTATTTTTATATGTTATTAAAGTACATTAAATTGTAGAAATAGAACATACAATAATATCCAATATTAGTTGATTGCAAATATATTAACTACAGCAATAATACGCTTTTGCTTGTGAATGCGATTTTGTAATCTTCCGCGAACTGCATTTAAAGCTCACGATAAATTAAAATGTCTTCTTTATGGTGGAATTTATTTTTTGAAGTTATGTGCTCACCTAATAAACCCCAAGTCTACTACAAATGCGTTACAATGATTTCATCGTCGATGTCGTCCTTTTCATCATCTGTCGTTTCTGGTTCTTGATCGATTGCTGCCTGCCTTTTGGCTGCCAATTCTGCGGCTCTCTTTTCCTTTATCTTTTGCTTTCTCAGTTTGCGCATATGGTGGATTTCCACTACGCAGTATAGCAAGAAACCTGAAAATATAATTAATAACTAAATCAGTAATTACCTAATTGAAGCAAAATAGAAAGAAAATAAATTGAGCAACTAGTAAGAACTGAAATAACAAGACGGGTCCAATATATAGATGTTTTTAAGTTATGTGAAAAACGGAAGCAATTCTCTTTAATAAAACCAGCAAAGTGATCCGAATTTTCAACAATATCCAATATTTTCTCAAATTCTGCAAATCAGGCAGTTTTTGTCCACGAATTCGGCAATATAAATTAAATATCACTATCGGTATTTACCGAAAACACTTTTTTACATGTTAATACGTGTATATTTGATCAATCGCAAAATTATATTTAATTAAGAAATGTTTTAAATTTTTGTAATAAAATACTTTTGACTGGTTTAAGCTCTTCTGTTTAGGTAATATTATTATATAAGCGCACGCATACACGTAGTTTATTTTTAAAGCAAGTAATAGTTTGCCTAAGTTATATTGATGATGATTGACTAAGCAAATTAGGTAAAATTTTATTAATCCATTCTTAATTTTTAATAGTTTTAGTCCGAATGAAGCTTGCTGTAAAATTAAATTCGATTCGTACTGACGCTTAAAACCTCATTAATTAAACTCCATTAAAGGAACAATATCCCTATTTAATTGCAAAATCTCAAATTACTTATTGTTATTTTCGGTCTAAATTTGTATATTTTGTTGACTTTATTCACATCTTATGAATCATTTGAGAGTAATATAGCAGACGAGAAAGTTAGATAAATTTATTGAAGTAATGCACCCCTATGCTGTTTACGTTTTTCAAAAACTCTTCAAGATATATAAAAATGCAATATGAAATAGCGTAAATTCGAAATAAAATTAAGATAATTATCAATCTTCTTATTATTATTTTTATTAATTTAAATTAGAATTTTCTTAACTTAAGACGTTTTTAAGTAAATCGGTATCAATTTCTATCATACTAATATTTTTTTTCATGCATTTAAAACATGCTTTTCTGGCTAAGATAAAATATTCAATGGCATTCAAATATGAGTATATGAAAAATAAATTGGTTATTTTTATAAATGGGTACCTACTTGAATACCTCTAGTAGGATAATTGCTTAACAAATACAGAAATATCTTTTACGCATGTCAATTTCATCAGTTACTAGACAAGAATGCGGTTTAAAATTTAATTTCAGTCAGAAGTTATTTATACAATACCCTTCTTAATACTTATATAACAGTTGAATTTGTATGTGTACATGACAGGTTTTATTAACTTTGCAATGGAAACTATATGATTTCTATTTCCAAATCTTGTATAACCGTAACATGTTTGAATAAATTTCTGAAAACTATAAAATATATGTGAAAATTGTTGTCTCAAAAGGAATAAGTAAAATATTTTTGTAATTAGCTTCAAGCACACTTGCGTATTTTTTTGGCTGTTACACTTACCAAAAACTAAGATGGCTAGCTGGACATACAGCTTCATACGAGCGCAAAGCTGAGTGGAATAAGCATAAGCGACGACAAAACCTACAGATTCCCATAGACGGTAGTTGGAGAATGCGGCCTCCTTATTTCTCCTGAAAAGAGCACCGTACAAACCTGAAAAATAACAGTAATATTAATTATGAGAACTCTGGAAAGAAACACGAAACAGAAGAGGAAAGTATGTACCTATGGCTTGATCGGACAAGATGGTATACAGGGTGATTTAAAATGGGCGTTATTTTTCTGTAGGGTTTGTCCGATGATATTTAGAGAAAATAGGAGAGGAAACTAAATGTTTCAAATAACTGAGAGATTCGCAAAATGCGAAATTATAAATTTGGCGAAAATGATTTTGTTGGGCCTGCAAATGAGGCTTTCCTTTTAAAACAGTTAATAAAACAGTGCAAATCGGTTTCGATGCATGGTGTTAGTAGCTTGTTTATATCGAAATTAAATAGGGTCTTAAACGTTTCTTAGCGTCAGTATTGCCTTCACTATGACTTCAGCTCTCAACTATTCAGCTGCGGCTTCAGTGACCTTCGTCGATGACTTTCGTTTTTTGAACATAATCGATTTGCTTTGCAAAAAATAACAACAACAAAGCAACATCCTTCCTCCAACTACCTTCGTAAAATAAACTTAAAATCGTTAAAAGGAGTGGCACCAGTTTTAATCACACTGTATTTTTTTCGCAGAAAATGTTCTGCCTGCTTTTTGATATGCATGAGAATCATTAAGCACCATTAAAGGATGTTCAACTTTGTCACACTGGTTATAAAGGTCATGTTTTTTACAAGCAGCAACATTTATGGTTTAGTACATTAAGTACTGATTTAGAATAAAACAGTGTCGACACGAAAGCCATAAACATTAAAGGGCAGTAAAATGTTGCAAAATACATTGTATTTTTACGATTCGTGAATAATGAACCATTAAATAACCACAATATCACAATATATAATAAATTAATGTACATCCATAGCTCTAAGAGGAAAAAGTGAACCTTACCATTGACTTGGGTTTGCCAAACAGCATCGCCCACTCCCCAAAGGCCAGAAGCCATGAAGAAGAGTAGTGGGTTGTCTGGATGCGGCCTCCATAGAAGCAGAAATATTTGTACTGCTGCATGAACTGAGATTCCTAAGATCATGATGGGCACTCGGCCAACGTATTTCATGACACTTCCAAACAACAAACTGCAAATTGCGTTGACAACTCCAAAGCAGATCATGACGAATCCAACATTGTTAACACCTTGAATTACAAAAAAGGAACAGTTAATTAAATTGGCAATTTTACTGCAGCATTCGGTATATGCATAGTAAGTAATTTGATGGAATTGATTGATTTATCGGCAGTACATGATTGTTCCACATTACTTTACTGGTTTTATCTAGTACGACTTGGGCTTTTAGTTGTCTGTTTGCTTTCCATTAATTGGTAGACAATTTAGAATTATACTCAATTGATTTTCTGCGAACTAAGCAGGTTTGGTTGATTTACATAGCCCCTTTGGCAATGCTAATATTGTTAAAATATTTGTGCTCATTTGCATATAACACAGAGTTAACTGATATAAAGTTGGCTTCAAATAAATAGCGCTATTTGCTATTAGCAGAAATGAAGATTTTCTATTGCTGAAAAAATCATAGATTGAAGAATGTAGCCTTGTCAAGCCAATTGATAATAATAATTATTTTAAATAAAGCCTTGGATTAAATCCTTTCCTGGATGACAAAGCTTTGAGCAAAAAGTTCTTACCCATTGCACATGATACATATGATTGAGTGAAATCTGCACTGATAAAAGCCTGCTCAACACCAATGTAGATGGTCATTGGTATGAGCAGCTGCTGGTAGGGCTTCTTCAACTGAATAAATGTAGCTGATAGAAGCTGAATGCCAGTTAGCTCTACTGCGCTGTTCCTTCTTTGCCTTTCACCATATCTGCAACAATAAAAAATTGGTTAAATCCTTAACATTTCGCTGAAGGACATTGTCAACTGATGACCAAATTGGTTCAATGATCTTTATTAAATTGCAAATTAATTAAGTCTAGTCTGCCAGACGAGTTAAAATGCTGAGTAATATTGTTGATAAACTGTTTGATCTCAACATTAAAAGCAATTTAGCCGGTGTTTTTTTTTGAAAGAGAAGATTGTCGGGTTAGAATCGCGGCCAAAACGAAATTGAATAACGGGACTGAAGAGAAGAAACTATTATGTGCATTATTTTCATATTTTTTGCATCCGTTGGACCACACAATGACAAGAAGGTGTAGGTATAGAAAGTGTTTTCATATTAATATTTACAACAAAGCAGGCAATTTTATATTTTTGTAATGCGTTTTCACATCTGCAATCAAGCTCGAAGGCAGAATTTGCCCGGTTAATTAAAAATTGTTATTTCTATGCGGAAATTATATTACCGAAAAGAAGAAATTACACCAGTTTTTCGAACTCGAGCAATATTTGGCAACCGCTTTTCATGATAAATATCAGGATTTTTTCATCATTGATGGTAGTGTCTCTCAATATTTCCTTCCTCAGTTTAGCCAGTAATATCTTTATGAGTATTTGCTAACTAATGAATGGTAAAAATTGGAAAGAATAGCACAGACGTTTAACTATTTCCTACTTTTCTCAGAAAGAGTAATCTTTTTTGTTTTTCCGTCTGCTCAATTTAACTGAGAGAAATACTCTTTTGATTTCAATGCACTCCTTTCCAATTCGACCTAAGTAAAATATTAATTAATATCTTTTCAACTTTTTTGGAAATGGTTATTGTCTCGCTGTCATTTGAACAGCTTTTCATTGAAATGGTAATTTAATTCATTTACTCAATAACTTATAAAAATCGTCCTTTGCCGTTTGAACATGCAGCTGACAATAAAACAACCATTGGCGCCACAAACGAGTAGCGACCACTTTTAATTTATGATAATCTGTCTGGAATTTCCATTTAATGAGAAGATTTTTCTTCCGCGATGTCACGACACTTTTTTTAATTGGCCCCAAAGTGCGTATGATACCGGTTAGGACTCGATACGAAGTCAGCGATTTATTCATATCGATGACAGCCTTGATGCAGAATTTTTACCAAATTTTACTTGAAATGATCATTAATTTAAAATATAGGAGTGGTAAGAAATATCTAGAAAATGAGCAAACGCGGAAGTTGTTTTTGAATACTATAAAATGTCAGAAACATCTCCGAGAAGTAACTGTTACAAACATAAAAACTTTTGTTGAACTGCATAACATGGAAAAGTTGATGCAATTACTAAGAAAATTACACAAATATTCAATATATGTGAAAATCTACGCAACTCAATCAAGAAAAAAATACCACAGTTATGAAATTCATATAAATGTTTGCAGTTGTGTTTATATTGTTTTCTTTGTAAGAAGAAATGCATTATTTAATAATGGCTTCACTTAAAATACCTTAAATGTTGCGATTTTTTAAGAAACTCAACATTTTATAATTTTAAAGACCATCGGGCGTCTGGCCTCTTTAATTACTAGTAGATAGCATTTAAGTCTATTTTGAGGTTTATCAATATCTCATCAAGAACTTCCATTACACTATTAATCGTTTCTGAAGAAAAACTCCAAAAAAACCTCGACCATAAGACCAAAACAATAAAATGTTGGACTATATAAGACTCAGTTTTGAAAAAAACATACGGGCAAAAAACTGCTACTGCTGATTGTTTTAATCGCATTTATAAAGAAACAAGTCTCAAATCAAAATGAAAATTTTTCGGCGTGTAGATACAGAAGGCAACTCACATAATCAGAATTCTTAGAGACAAGTGGAAACCTTAATCCATTTCCATTGAAGAATTGAAATAAATGTGTTCAAACTTGAAATACTAGGTACACTAATGTGCATCTAAAATTTCCTTTAAGCTGATGTTTGAACTTTTGTTTTTACCTACCAAAAATCAATAATAATTAGCAGCTAGTGTTTGTCAAAAATATAAATATATCCAGGAACTTAGTTCTTTCCTGAAATTCCATTATGTTTGAGTTACAACCCGAAATTAATGACATTTTAATAGATAATTAAAACATTATTAAGATAAAAATATATTGGAATATTTCTTAATTGATATGGGTACAGGTTTGTTTGTTGATTCAAAATGAATCTCCGGTGTTTTCATTTTTTGCTACAAATGTAAATAAAATCAGCATAATGCAGCAAGGAATTATGCAAAGTAGACAAATCAAAGTTGTAAGCGCCACTCAATCTATTTTCATTGCCTTGGTCAGAATTGACTTTAATTTGACCGATTGAAACCCTGATTGCGTACAATTTAATAACACAATTGCAATGGTTTTTTTTATTGACTTTGATATCGATTAGGACTAAGTATAGCACCATCGTTTGCGGAATGATTTAAATCATCAACTGAAATAGATTAATAATAAAATATAATATTAACAAATAAAGAAGTTAACTATGTTTGTTTTTCTACGTTTTGCGGTTTATACATGCATTTCTGCAAGCATAAACAATTAATAGTAAACTTGTTTTTTTATTCGGGAAGTAATAAAGTTTCCGCTTATTAAACTGTTAATTATTAAACAACGACGAACATAAACTAACATTTATAATATGCACATATTAACAACAATTCATAAAAAAAGTGTTATTTCAGAAGACTCAGCTTGTGAGCTTTGCTCTGCATTCTACTAAAAGATTTACCGAATTTTTGGAAAGAATTAATTTCCAGTTTGATATAATTTTAAACTGAATTGTTAACAAATACACTTGCTTTCCTTCAAACTCGATTATACAAAGCAACCAACTTCCATTAACACCACTTTTCCTCGTTGTATAATGGCAATATATTGAGTTTAGAGTTAATCAGAATGTAAGACTTGCTGCAGGATCCTGGGGACAGAGTTGTTCGTAGTATTAATATATTTTTTATGTTCATATAAATGATTCACATATTTTAATTAAAGATTGTTCGAGTTGGCAGACATATCAGGCCGAGATGGCAAACATCGAGATAGGTGTGAAATTTCTTAATTATGTGTTAGTTAATAATAAATATCAAAATATTGTTTTAGCTTGCGTTTGAGAAGCGCCAATAAAACTACATCATGTGTAACAGCAACAACTTCCCGGAAGGTAGTCATTATTAATTTATACCTGCAGATTATAAGATAATATGGCATTTACTACAAAATCCTGCATACATAAATAACGTCCTGGTTAAATCCGAACAATGCCTTTAAAGCTTCTTGTACATATAATAAAATTAGTTAATTTGAAACCTGAAAGTTGCAAAATAGAAAAATATGTTTACAGGTACTGCAGAGTTCACATAATCACAGACTAATTATCATCAGTCTCTGATAACGTCCTTTGTTGTGTGAGCAATAATTATAATAATAATAATAATAGTTTTTCCGATTATAAACTTGACTTGAAAAGTGGAAAAATGATCTAGAAAATCACACAGTCGATACAATTTGTGATTAAATATATTCATTTTTTTTGTATAGCTCCTTGTATAGTATTCCAACACTTAAAAATTTAAAACCATTCAAAAAGTTTTGGAAATACAGGTTTTTTACATAATGCGGCGTAAAACTCGGTGAGCCGTTTATTGTTGGGTGCATAGCAAATCAACATCCGTGTAGACTCATATTAATTTATTTGCTGAACATCCGCTAAATATACGAGGTTTTATATGATATAGAGTCTTAATATACTTGAAAAGATAATACTTGTAAACGACATTAAACATGAAACACACACTCTTTAAAGACGCAAATAGACATCTTTATTTTTACAGTTCTTACGTACAACACAGTAGAACCACTTTCGTTGGTTCTTTGAATACTTTAATTAGCGAATGTGCTAGAACGTATAAATCTCCTCTCATATCGGCAATACTAATAACAAAGTGCACTATAAATTAAAATCACCTGGGTCGCAATATAGAATCTAATCTGGTATAGATTGCAGGTTAAATTCCTTGCATAATAATTTCGTTTCCTTTGATTAATGGTACCACAACCAACCTCAGCCTGCATTAGAAAATCACGATTTGCAGGCAGACTAGCAAGCCAGATGCTTGATTTGCAGATATGAAAACGTACTAAAACTCAATTAATTGCTAATATTTTGCATGCTATTATCTGATATTATTTAGTCTGCTGTATGTCTTTTTTTCTCTTAATATACTGCTGCATGATTCTTGAAAGTACTATTACTAAAACGTAAAACACAAGTTGATGAACCTCTAAAAATATGAAAGTGATACCTACATACAACAATAAAAGCAAGAAAAAAATAGACATTGTTTTTAAATTTTGTTTTGTGGCTTATTTTAAAATGAAATTCCAGTTTTTTTTAAATAAATTTAAGAAACAACGAATGATTTAAATGAAATTATTAGGCCTAATTAGGCGGCTAAAAGCAAAATTTCAGCTATTTTTATTTATTTGCTTCCTACTCTACTAATTTAATTACTTTTTAATGTTAAAAGGTATCAGTATTTTGGGTACTTTGTTTTGTATGTATTTTATGATTTTATATGTAAACTTGGTCGATTTTCCTTTGTGCGTATTGTGACATCTTTTAAATTTTTCCGGGGTTGAAATTAGATCTTTTATTAAATTTTATTTTTTTATTAAAATTTATATTTTCGATTTTATTTCAACTTAACCTGAGTTGAAGTAGAGTAATCTCATAGTGGGCAAATAAAATACCTATTGAGATTAGGTCAGTCTAATAAAAACCTATAATCATTAATTAACTTAACTCAATAACTTGTGAACATGTGAAAACTGGCAAAACTGAAGACCTAACGAAATTTAATTATCAATTTTTCTTTAGTCATTCATATATTTTTACTTCATGTGCCAGTTTCCTTTCATTATAAAACCTTTCGCGCTTTATAAATATCTCATTGGGCGTGTTTCTAGATATCTGAAAAACGTTTTTTTTGTAATCTGGACATATAAATGGTTTATTTATTGGTTCGCTCAACTAGTTCATATATCACTTGAGACTTGTGATAATGACACTAGTTGCTTGTGATATCATGAAGTCGGTAAATGTGGAATTCAATATCTACTAACATGGGTCTATTAAACTAGTTTCTTCAGCCATGACGTGGCTCGTTAAATATAGCTTAAGAAGCTGCTTTTAGCTCCATATTAGAAGATTTCTTCTTTTTCTTCAACTCTGATGGTCTTAAAATAGAATCTGTGAGAGACAGCTGTCTTGCATCCGGTAATTACGTGAATAAAATGCGAATCAAGACTTCGCAGAACATTTTCTGCCTGTTTAGAATTGGATAGCGTGATGATTTTTTAAATCTGTTTAAAAAAACTCCGTATAATACTGACCTACCACGGTATCCCATTGATTTATTTCAGTCGGCGGCAGTAATAAAATTATACAATTCTGTTGCAAATAATTTACGTAACGAAAGATAATTATTGTTTGTTGGAGGATCTTCCAAATAATTACGATTTTTGTTTAATTATTGCATTGAAATAACCTTCAACATTACCGTACTTATATTCAACTGGCGGGTACCGTTTCTAATGTTTCTACAACGGTTCGTTAGGCAGGTAACTGGTTTCTGTCTGGGTATCATCATCAGAAACTGGTTTCCTCCACTGTAGGCTGGAAATGCTTCTACCAAGATGTAATCGAGCAATACGAATCGATTATTAGCAAACGAAGGATCGAATAAAGATAACTCGGTATTGCCTAAATGTTTACCACTAAATTCCACAAAAGTACACAACCTTGTCTCATGGAAACAACCTCGCATCATTGATTCCAAAATGTCGGCCTCGATATACATAGTAGGGCAGAGAAAGGTAGACTATCGGCGCCAATCCGTTTGCAAAATAAAATACAGAACAGACCGACTTTTTAAAGCTATAATGAAAAATACATTTGATGGTGGTGATTTTTTAAATTAACCTTCTAAGAAATACACGGAAGAATTCAGAATCACAAATGCAGAGGCGTAGTGCGGGGTGGGCAAGGGGGGCATTGTGCCCCGGGCGCTACTCACAAAGGGGAGCCAAATGGTCGCAAAACAGAAAATTTCTGGGTCGATATTAATTCGAATGAGGATGGGGGGGCGCTAAAAAGGTATTGTGCCCCGGGCGCGAGTTAAGCTTACTACGGCACTGCACAAATGCTCCTGAATGGATAACGTTTTAATTCCAATTTGAAATATCGAGATTTTTAAATTTAGTTTTCATGCCTTTGTAAGAACAAGTTATATTAAAACCAGTGGGCCTTTCAGAGATAAATTAGCTAAAGTATGCTATACACTGGAAACAAAAAATCGCTTTAGAATCTTAATCAGCTTATGTAAATCAAACAATTATATAAAAAGTAATCAAAACAGAATCCATATGCGTCAAAAAAACAAACCTTTATTTATTACATATTTTATATCTCCAATTATATAATCTCCAAGACTCCTCTTCAACGTTTTGCTATTTTATTTTGCTTATAATTATATGCCAAAAGCGCTATCTAGTTTGTTCGCATCAGGGCCATTATGAGCATATCATATTAGCCAATCTAAGAATATTTCGCTCTTAATTAAAAGTCATAATGATTTACTTTGAGATGGTTTGTAAACGAGTTTTTCTTAGTACCACATTTAAATGTTTGTTGCCTCTAGATATTGAGCGAATTCGTTATGAATGTTCAATTATATACTAAGCACTTAAGATTTGCAAAAAATAAGCGTCTATCCAGAAACGTTTTTATCATATCTTATATTACGTATTCTTTAAAATGAATGGCATCTCTCCAAATTAAGCCAACAGTCAACCGGTTACTTCTCTTTTCAAATTCTTATTATTTCAAAAACTCATCAAGCTGCTCTCTGAGATTTTAATACACTTTGGAAGCTATTAGAAGTTCATGCAATAAACTCAATTCAATTCAGCATCAAACAAAGATGCCATTAAACTCGTCTGGTTTCCACATTATTAGCTCAGTTAGGTGCCATTAATCTCAGCACATTCAATGCCATTCGTATCTTGTTTGAAAAAAATCTATACCCAAAAGATTTTAGTTCCAAGAACAGCAAACAGATATGTCTTGAAATCTGATGTATCCAATTCGACGTGGGCGTTTGATAAATTAAAATTAAAGACTTGGGAGGATGTTTTTTATTCGTCTTCAACAAAGCCGAAAAATAAATTAAAACTATAGTTGAGATAGATCCGGTTCATAACTCCACTTCTCCACAGAAATTTTAATATATGGTTTAATAATGTCGTGGTTTAATAAAATATTAAGGAATAATAATTTTACATGTTTTGAAACAGACGAATTAAAAAAAATTGTATAAGTACATTAAATTACATCTACTATAGATGTAAAGGAAATCATCATTATAAAATCAAACAAGAACAAAAATGGAACACAAGTGTTGCCGCAGAGCAAATTCTTAAAAAAACAGTATTATTTTCAAACTTTTAGTTAAAAAGGCAATTCGTTTCAATTTGTATTGTTTATTGCTATGTTATTCAATAAGTTTTCTTGTTGTTTTATTGTAGTTCAATTAGAGGATGCATTTTACTCACAAATTATTCAACAGAACAATTTAAACTTTTACACGCTCAAATTAACGTAGAAAACGTTGTCGCAGGTTAGTCACAAAATACAATATAGACTATTGTCCGCAAAGAACTTATAAAACTTTTACGACTTTCGCAGTAGTTGAAGTAAATAACATTGAATGAAATTATGCTTTTCGATTGGCCTTCTTATATAACTGAAATATCCGTAAACTTTGCAAAAAGCTTTTTTTTAACTTGAAGGAAATATTTTGTATACTTCATTCAATTAGCAAATAGAACATCGATTAGTTAAGGATAACAGCTTTTTGCAAAAACAATCGCCAAATCAATATTAAAATTACATAAATTCAAAACCGAATCCCAATTACGTTTAGTTTTGTCCTGAAGTCATGGACAAGGTTACCATTGTGTTTTGATTGTAAAACGCTACTCGGGCTTGAGGTGGTACCCCAAGAGATCAATTAACTTAAGGTCAAGTACGGTATTCGAAAATATTTATTTAAAACTACTGTACTGTGTAAACATAGGATTTTTTCGTGTGTCACCATAACAGTAAAAGTGGTTCCTTTGTCAAAGCAAAAGTGTATTTTTATTTGTCTGAGAGAATAGGAAAAGTACGTCAACAAAATACAGTGCGTCCTAAAATCGATTCTAATTCGATGCCAAAATCCACAAAAAATACTGTTTTAAATCATAAAAGCTTAGTTAATTACCAAACGGTCACATTGCTCCAATCGGAGGCATTGGACATAGTGGGTAGTCGAAAAAATTATTATAAAAGTTTTTTATAGCGATTCTTATTTTTCTTCTCAAATGCAGTATCAAGTTTAGCATTTTAAAAATTGGTATACAAATTTCCGCTTTGTTATAGGTTTCGCGATTTTCGATAAGACACAATTCCACGTGTACTTGTTTATCACTAATATTCAACTAATAAGCTACATGTTTTTGTGGTCCAATTAGACCAAGAAACCTTAGCACACGACAAGGTCCATAAAAAAGCACCATAAGGATTACAACTTTTCCTCAAGATTTTTAAAGAGTTCACTCGCTCGTTACCGCATTCTTCAGTTCAGCACGTTTTATGACGCCATTGGTACTGGACCACTCCTTGTTTGTTTATATGCGAAAATTGAATCATGGCTATTGACTGAAGAGTGCCAATTATTGAAAGAAAACCGGCAAAATTCTAGTAACTGGTTTGGTCTAGTAATGGGTTAACTTTGGTTTCGTTTCATATTGAAAAACCTCCGCTTAATCAACTGAACATCAGATAGTCATAAGAAATAGTTCCTCATGTGGACATTATTAGAAAGGAAGACAATTTCTTGCGGCATCTGTCGCAGTGGCGCAACATTCATCAATATTTAGTAAGATGTGATAGTGGCAAATTATATTTTGAGTACAAATTTGAAGATTTAAAACATAACTCGGAAAATCAAAACACAATTTTGCGTAATTAAAAAGAGTTTAACGTAAAGGAATGTGAGACGTTGACCTGCATTTCTAATCGAATGTGATGGCCACGAACGATAAATAAATAATTAAACATATTGTTATTGTTGGTTTCTTGTTTAACGGTCTTTATTCATAAGAACTACTAAGAACCAATGCTCATTGTGTAGTGCCATATAACCGTATCAATATGGAAATAATCCGAAAGTGTTATTAAATTCCAACTGTTTATTGCGTATGTTTTGCCTTCACTTCGAGGGTTGTTTATGTTTATTCAGAAATAAAAAAAAATCTAAATAAATCATCCATTGAGGATTGACTTCCGGTTTTTACAAATATCATATTCTTTTTCAGGTTCTCCGATTACTAACGGTAAGCATTCTTCGGCACTTACCTTGAAAGTGGATCAACCAGAATAACGATGAGAATAACAGCCACAATGATACAGGCCAGGTAGATGCTCATAATTTCGAAGAGTTCTGAGCTGGCGACTGCAGATGTTTCATCACTGTTGCTGATCGAAGCGCAGAAATTGGCGCCGCATAAGTCGTAATCGGTGGTTCCAGCATCAGTTCCATGGGGATTGCTAAGTACTGGAAAATAGAAACATGAAGGTAAGATGAGGATTATGAAAATATGTTTGCTTTCTAACTTTAAGAGTGAATGAAAAATGGTATATTGCGGTACAAGAGACGAAAGTCGAAGTTTCGTCACTGCTTGAAGTTGCTTGAAGCGTCATGCACGCAGTGGCGGGCCTTTTTCACTCAATACTGACTTCTATTTTTTTCTACTTTTAAATATTGTATTCATTCAAACAAATGAATTAAATCGCTATTCCGAAACGTTAACTACTGGTAACCCATTATTTAGGCTGAACGCTAATCTTCTTGTTCGAGGGTTAATTTAAAAACGCTTTCGAATTACATCACTCTCGGACACACAAAATTGAAGATGACGTAAAAATGATCTTATAGAATGATGAGACGGTTATAGGATCCAAGCGTAAAATACCAAAATTGATTTAATCGTCGGCATAGTTTTTTAATCAAATATTCATTAACTTTGCTTACATCCCGGTGATGTAATTAATTAGCATTCGAACTATAGTATATTGTTCAGTTTAATGGTTTAGTGGTAAAAAACAGCAATTAGTAGTCAACTACGTAAATTTCTAAACAATTAAGATGGAAGTCGGTTTTTGGATTAATTGATTATCTTCCTTCCTGAATAATTGTGGTAAAACGCAATCCGCTCAGGGCCGAGTAATTTGATATTGCTAAAAATGTGTTTTATCAAAAACTCAAATTATTTTATCTAGTGACTTTTAGTTTCAAGCAATTGTAGGTAAAATTCACATTCAACAAGTCTAAAGATGACTACAAAAAAGTATACTTAAGTCACGACTAAAATTCTTTTGAATTCATTGCGCGAGAATTTCCTAATTGTTTGTGAGAAAGCATTGTCTGAAATTCTGATTTGCTCATTAATACCAAATGAAACGGGCTTGTGGGTTTATCCACAATACAAAACTGATTAATATTGAGAAAGATCCTACATAATTTATATATGGCAACAAACGTGGTTGCTTACCAAGAGAAGAGATCAGATTTCCCCAGAGCTCGGCTGTCTGCCAGGCGAGGAAGAAGAATCCGAAAAATCGGACAATAATCGCATCCACTGCTTGATCGGTCAATTTGGCATAAACTCCAGCTACTTGGGTCAAATACGTGGCCTTTGAAGCCCACATGGGAGCTGCTCCAATACCCACGATGATACCGCATGGAATCAGCGTGTAAAATCTGGAAAAATTTTACAATGAATAAACCTCCTTAAGCTCAATGTAAAGATTATATGGTTGTTGCACAAGCTGCGAGTACAATAACATAATTCCTTGCTATATTTGCACAACATGTTGATGAAGTCTGGATTTCTTCAAACGGACTTACCGAGGATAAAACTGAGATGCGATGTATGGAGCGTAACACAACATGGACAGACAAAGTGTCCATTTCACAGTCAGCCTTTTGATTAGGAAAGATGGGACGAATATACAACTCACAACTAAAGCAGCAAATATGGAACTAAGGGAGAGGGTTCCTAAACCGTCTTTGGCATTAATACTGGACTGAAGATTGGCCGTACCCTGAAATTTATTAATTTCTATTAGTGTTGCTGGAAAAGTTTGCATCTTTGCTTGCAATTTTCTTAATTGTCATTTTTGTAATATTTTTGTTTCATGGCAGATGAAAAATATGCTGCAGACTTTTTAAAAGCAGCTAAACATTTTAATAGTACAGCAAGCAGTGTTTGTACAACATTTCAATGTTTGAAGATTTTGCTTGTATGAATGTTTATTATTTGTCATGACTTTATTCTCACCTGGAAGGCCGTAAACTGTATCATAAATGCGCAACTAATGGCTGTAACGTTCTTGAGAATTCGCCACTTTTCCTTTGTGGACATTTTAAACTTGCCCTGTTGGGAAGCTTCCTCATCGGTAAGCTCCCTTGGTGGCTTGTGTGGATTGCCACCTCCATCACCCTATGAACAGCAAAAAAATATATGTAATTTCAATAAAAAAAATATTTATTTATTTAATCAAGTTATGCGAAAGATAGCACTAAACATGTTTCAACCAAACGCTTACAGAAGATAGACAGACGGATATGCAATCAAGACAATGATTTAAAAACTCTGTTGTACTCGACACGGAGTAGTTATTTTTAAGTGCTGCAGGCTTTATTTGCGCCTTACTTTAAGATATCTGACATTGACTTGAAACCGAGTACAACTTTTATAGTTTCGAATTCGTATGAAAAACAAAACTTGTTGATGCCAGACAAAATGGATGTCGAATGAACCATCAATTTGCAAAACGCATAAAAATCTGCACTTTTCTGGAAAAGTTCAGAAAAACAAATTCTGAAAATTAAGAATCGGTTTAGATATATGATGTCTTTTAGAACGACTAAATACATCATATCTTATATTTAAAAATGATAATTTTAGTTTTATTTAAAAATCACTATACAACTCGTACTTATTTTGAGAGAAGAACACGAGTTATGAATGCCTTAATTACAGCAGAAAGTCAGTGAGTATAAAAGAAGCTCTCTGCTTCTGAAATTAACCATGCCAATTGCGCCTTTTATACATTTCATCCCTCCATAAAATATGTAGGGATGCTTTTTGGATGTGTTCTCAATTATTTTTAACGAATGTACGAATACATTTGAAAGAAGTAGATTCTTTTTTTCATACGCCTCTGAATCAGCTGGAGATGCAAATAATGTTTTGACTTTGGAAAGCGGTACAATACATCTCTTCTAATTTCAAAAACTTTGGCTGAAGGTTTTTGTCTTAGAAAGGCGCAAACCTTGAAAATACTAGGCTTTTCATTAATTCTGTTTAACTGTTAAGATCCATTATTAGTTACTGCATTCAAAGGTGAAGAGATACCTAATTGAATCATAGATAATTATTGTTATTAGATACTCGACAGAAAATTTGCATATGTTGGCATGGACAGACAACACGATTTTTTCGATTCAACAACTGGGTACCCATTATTAATTCTGCATATTCCGCTGTTGTAATAGCTGTTCTGTAATTATGAATTAAATAGATAACTATGGTTATTTTGATTTAGATTTGAAAACTAAAACAAAGTTGGCCCGGCAACATTGCGCCCGTTTGTTTATATTAAAACTTGATTTTCTGTTAATGTTTTCACCTCGTTTGTATACAATTAAAAACACATTTTTAAACTTGCACTCAGAGATTTATACTATTTGTGGATAAATCAATAATGTGCGTTTAGCTAGTGAGTGTGCTGAGAATGTAGAATCGAGCAGGATGATTGGAAAATTGGTAATTCCCAGTTTAGGTCTTGTATGGATTACTTTTGAGTATCACGGAATAAGTGGAATAATTACAATTTAAAAGAGTTCTATGATTTTCACGTTTCATTCGATTTCTAATGATATACATTTAAAAACAAATATGTAACTTCAAGGATGTCTGGTCTATTACTCATTCGTACAGAAAATTTTTCAAATTAACCAGTGTTTTAATCGCTCAAAGCGCGATTTAATTTGGAGCTCCCATAAGCCCACATAATGGTGTTTGTTAAATGAGCGAGTTTGGGACCGGATTAAAAGTCCATTTCTCCTTGAAAAATGGCTGAAATTTTGACCCTTGAACCAGGTTTTTTCCAACGCATCTTTTCAATATTATAATGCTGTTAAGTCCTTGAGTGGAGGAGTGTTGGATCGGCCAAAGCTGCTTTTTTATTGTTAATTATTAATTTTAATATTTAATTAAAATGTGTCCAGTAGAATGTTGGCGCTGACACCAGCCCCGACACATTCTCGAGTTTAATTAATAATAACTATGAAATACATAAATATCAATCAACAATTATCATTGCCCACATAACGTATTTTGTTGGACGCAATATCGCGTCTCTTGATGACATCGGCTTTTCAATCTTGGAAATAAATCTCGATAAAGACCTGATTAGAGGGTCGCAATGCGATTATTAGAAACAGTTCTAATACACTGCCAAGATCGTTAAGTTCTGGGGAGGCTAATGCACAAACTATTTTCTCCCATAATGCTGTCACACGTACTTAGACTATTCAAATATAAATTACATTTTTTCCACTTCTATACCACTGATGTTTCAATCGAGATTAGTTATATTTTTCAATGGCTTTATTATAATTTTATATTTCATATAGTAACTGTTTATCTTTACTTATGATAACTAAAAATAAAAATTTGCTACCAACTGAAAACTAAACTCGTATATTCCAAGCAAATAAAAATTTGCACTCACGAAGAACTCACGCTCGAAGTTAGTTTGGTAAGTGTTAGAGCAAACACATTTGATATTGGCTGCCCGTGCTTAAAAAACGTTGGGATATTTTAACTCTCCGTTTTCTATCCAACTAAAAAGTTCATAAACGTTTTGCTCACTAGAAGGTCCAATTTTTCACTTTTTAAATAACAGCACTTTTTAAATAAATTGATTTTAAATTAATTTTAGTTATAATCGATTTTAAATCATTTTACTTCAATTAAATCTCTAATTTTTGAAACACAATAAGGCCACATATTATTTAATAGAATGTAAATTGAGTTATACCATTATCTCAACTTTAGKACKTCGATAAGAAAGTTTTAATATTCCTGTTTTATGCGCACGGTGAGCTTAGGTAGAGTGAGATGTARYAAATGTTTTATTGTTTCATTTYRTATTAAGCMGACAAAKTTTYATACATTTTTTTTCAMAAAATYRTATTCTYACCTTGAAACCATCATTTTCATATGCACCAGTAACGGAAACCGTGAAGACACCATCGTCGGTCTTTTTACCGGGTGCGCCATTAGTGGTCGCACTGTTTGCGTCGAGCCCCGCGGTCATTTCCGGGCCGCGGTTCTCACCCTCCTCGATCTGAAAGCACAACAAAAAACATATTAAAAATTTACACTTTAACAAACTTGGATTTCGTGAAGCAGCATAATCTCATAAATTGGCATGCCCTGAATGTAAAGCATTCACCCTATAATTGTGACAATCCCAATAATTTGCAGTTTATTTACTCATTTTTACCTGCAAAGTGGTGACTATTCTCAATTGGTAATTCCAACTAACGACTTACTGTAGTTAACGCTAAATGTTTTCAAGAGACGAAATAAATTGATGCAAGTAAGGTTTCGAAGCTTTTTTGCAATATATCACTTCTGTCTAGTTTGTCACTGTTAAATCATTGCGGTTCTGCGAGAGACTGATAGCAATCTTGAATCTTAACAATTTCATCAAAAATTTATTATCATGCATACGTATATTATTTACATTTGTTAAATACAGATCTTTGGAAAACAATGTAAACGTTTCAAGACAAGATTTTGTAATTCATTCTTGAACATTCTCATATACAGAGTGACTGCTTGGATAGCGAATATGTGAGTGTCTAAACGCAGAGATGTAGATTGATTCAGAGCATTTGCATGCATCAACCATCAAAGTTACCTTTTATTATGTTAAGGATGTAGCCACAATTTTGAAACCATCCAATAATTTCTTCAAAGTATATGCGCAAATTTTCCATTCAGTAATTTCCATTGAATCACCCAGCATATAGACATGTGATATCTTATTCTATTTCGAAATACCATTTAATTTCGTGTGCTCGTATGCCGTGCAAATATGGTAGCGAGCTTAGCAAAACCACATGATTATGAGCATTATAAACTCTAAGTCATCAGGAAGAATGAAAATTTGATAAAGATGACTTCTGAATTCTATGTTCATATATGCCGCGTAACTGCATGAAGCTTGTTACCACGTTTATTTTCATTATTATTGAGCAGTTTTTCAATATTTGTCAAGCATGCGGATACATTGATGTTTGCATATCAAACATTATACAGTCATTTTCGAGACCATAAATACGGTTTTTCAGGAATTTTTTGCGGCTACTCTTGAAGTGTTTTTTTAGAGGAGTTGCAAGGGGGTTTTTAGACTCTAAAAAAAACGGAAATGTTATTCTCGCCTCGAACCAAAATATTTACAAGAAAAATTCCTGATTAAGTCAAAGGAATAACGCATAACATATCACATAGCATAGCAATAAATCAGTGTTTTCAATGTTTTAGACATTAAGGTGTTTTATGATTGAAATGGGTCGTTGCGGCTGAAAGACAGTTTTTATGTTTTATGTGAGTTCTTAAACTGAAACTGTATTCTGTTTCTACTTGTTTAATGCAAAATCTCAGCAAACAAACTTATTTATTTTCTCATATTTTCCAAATAAATTCAAAAGTACTTGCAGAGAAACGTCGTCGGTTTTAATTCACCTTGTGTTTAATCATTAATCTATCTTAATGCTGTCAAATGTGTGTGTTTTATAAACAAGAATCAAAACTATGTGAAGTTCATGGATTCAACACAAAACCTTGAAGGTGGAATCGTTAAGCTTATCAGGGCGCCGTTCGCGTCTGTGATATAACGTGTGTAGTAAAATGAAGCAAAACTATTTTTAAAAGTTGGCAAAATGAGGGTTCCGAGTATAGAGAAATTTTAATAAGTATAGCTGTCAAAAAGCTAATTGTATTTATTTTGCACTCGACAATGCAAAATTTTTATTGTCTTCGGTCTAAAACAGAAGTGCAAGGTAAAGATGATGCGTCATTAACTAATTTTGCAATCATCACAACATCTGGGTTGCGCTATCATTTACGTCTAACATCCGTAACCGGCACAATGAAGACATTCAACATTGTTTTAATCAACTTTTCCTTAACTATACAGGTGATTTCAATATCGAAAAACATGATAAAATCGAAAAATGGTCGAACTCTGAAGTACGAATGAAGAGGAAAACCCATCAGCTGCAAACAGATTTATATAACTTTTCATGATTTATGTAATTTATGTCTGGCTTTCTTCGAACTTTACATCGAAATAATCGTAAATGAATCTTTAGAAATCCCTCAGGTGTAATGAAAGATGGTTTTAAAAGTAAAAGAGAAATTATCTTGTCATTTATTTCGCGAAGTTTGGAGCGCAATGGAAAAACATGATGATAATAATAAGCGCTGTAACGGATACTGCATGAACAGTTTATTGAGAAACTGAAGAATTAATTGAGCTTTAAAACTAACATACATTTTTGATCTGACAACAGATTTAAGTAATTTTCACGTTAAACGTTAGAGCTTGACTGTCAAATTGGTTAATACCACATTACTCGCTGGAAAAAGTCAAGAACACTAAAACAATAATTTGAAATAATCCTAGATATTACTCAACAAGAAAAAATAATAATTTCTTTCAAATGCGCATAAATTGTCAACATGTGTGTTTGATTGGTGTTACCGTCTTTTGCTTCTGCAAACGCGCCTTTCTTAACCTTTATGTGAGCAAGTACTTTAAATTTTTTATTTCTTTTTTTAAATTCGCAAGTTTCCTTTCACCTTTTATAGAAAATAATGATTTTGCTAAGCATTTTAGGAAAAAATTGCTAACTCAACTGAAATTAAATTGATGAACTGAATGGATATAGCTTTGACAAATTAAGTTTTAAAATAATTCCAGCGGGTTTTTGGGGTGAGAACTTCAGCAGACACACTGTATATTTTTGAAAGTAAGAAAAATTTCGAACGGTCGTATTTTGATCGTATTTTATTATTTTCTTATTCTGTTTTCAAACAGTTAACAATCACTTATGTAATCTCTCTCTTCTGACTCGAAGTTCCACTGATGATTTCGTTGTGAGTAATTATGGGATTGAATGAGGTTTATTATCCTTATGTTGCATGTTCATTCTAATTGGTTAATTGCATTTATACTGTAATTAGTATATTTTCCTACGGCCAACTATTCGTATTAACTGGAAATCAATATTATTGAATTTGGACTTTGTACTATTGAATTGTTTTAGTGTAATTAAATAGTTCCTGCTGATTTCACAAGATTCTCAGGCAAACTGAGTTTGTCTCTTCCAATAGTTGTTTCTAATGGATAATAATTGTTAAGAACGTCTGTCCGATGTAAAATGTTGCGGTTTTCAACAGTCGTTTCTTCAATTTAATCTTATTTTATCACCTTTTTTATTAAGGCGTTAAAGCAGAGATAAATAATTAAAAAACCATGAAATATTATCACCTGAATAGCGCCATTAGTTGAGAAATTTTTGCAAAAACTGATTCATCATTAAATTACCAGCGACTAAAGCATTCAAGAATGGATTAATTCCTGAGTTAGGGTAATGAAAGTCATTACATTAATCAATTTAACTCATTGACAAATTTATGTCCTGTTGGAAAACTGCATTATACTATGATAATTTTTTTTAAATTAGGCATATTTTTTCCCATACGGTTTAATGAATCTGTTTATACCAAACACTAAATTTCCAATGTTTTATAAATTTGCAAATAAAACGTTGAAAAAAAGCTGTTGGCTGATAACTAATAATAATTATATTTAGTTTGTAATCGCTTCTTGAAAATGAACTTGAAGACATGTCACACGTAAATTCAGATATCGAAAAATGCAGTTCTTTTACTTCGTTAAGTTTTTTAACAACTACTGAGATATTATGCTTGAAATCGATAATATAAACATATTTTTTTACAAAAAAAATGTTTGAAAACAATTTCTGAATTAGCCTGCCAATCAAGAAGCCAATTGATAGAATTTACTAACAAAAAAAGACACTGACAAAAAGTATTCGTTTCCCATATTAGTCTGAATATTCCAACCTGTTGTTATTACTTGAAGTGTCGGAAATATACTATTATGTGTTTCCGTACCACCGGGTACCAAGGTTGGCAATCATGCAAAATGCATGGGAGAAAAAAAATTGTATTAAATTTGGGCGGCCTGATTATGAAAGTAAGTGTTTTTTATGACTAGAATAAAAAAATGTAATAATAAACTATTAAATAAACAAATAATATATTCAAATCATTCTTTTAAAACTAATTCTACGACAATACAACTGCATTAAACGGAATGTTCAAGAATGGATTTGGAGTCTTTTTGCTGCTTCATATATTGTGCTTACAAAATGACCATAATCTAGAAAAAAATCTAGCAGCGTTAATAACCAGCTCAAATATATTCAGCAAGTGTTTTGACACATTAACTCCCATGCATAATTATTATGGGTACGCCAACCGCACGCCTTTGGTATAACAATGTACTAATCATTTCTAAAATGGAATGTAAATGTACCGAAAACTTCATAATTAATTGTCTAGTGAACAGTGAATATAATTACGAGCCAGTTCATTCTCACCTTTTGTTGGCTATTTAGCCGTTTCACTTTTTATCTGCCGATCTTTGTTACTATTATTTATTATATCATGCAAGAAATTTGCTTCCATAATTGACAACAATTAAGCATTAGAAATATTTTTGTTTCCTTCTAACTTAACGCGTGATTTTTAATAATTTATTTATTTTACTACTGTTACAGAATGGACCACAAACTAGCACAACCTTGCCAATAAACCCATGCACTTTTTTCCGGTTGAGTATGCTCAAGCACACAGTCAACAGTAGTGAGATAATTCATTGTTTATAGTTCACAATAAACATGAATAAAAACACTAAAACAAATCATCTAATTGACACGCAATTAGCCGAGTCTTGAATGAGATTTATCATCCAGAAATTGCGATTCTTTGTTAATGTTTTAATTACATTCATTTTGTAATTATTGGATGTTTCCATCGAATTTTAATATGAACTTGGGCCTGCTACGTTTACAATGCTTTGGATTTATTCATGTTGCACTTGGTACGTCTTGTTGACCTGTTTACTTCAGTTGTTTCCATTTGTTTTCCAAGCATTTCATTGAATATTTATAAATTAATCGACCCGGTATTTTTACCGGAATTTTACTTAGACCTTGTGTTGAACTTGAATGCGCTTTGATTTCG